TCAGTAATAGACTAAACACTTTAAACGAAAATGAGTTTCATATTTCTCAACACATTATTATACAGCATTAAAACTATGATTTTTTTTTTAAAACTCAATTTACCCCAAACCCAAGCCCTCTCCTTTCCCTTCTTTCTCTCTAACTCCTTGGACCTATTTACAATATAGTTCGAAGATACCTGCAATGCACTTTCATCAAAATTGTATTGTTTTCTGCAATAATATCAATAAACTATTTACAACTTACACGTTATACTACAATATAGATTATGTTGCGCATAAACAACACTACATACGAAGAATAGAAATGTTTTTGTCCAGTATTTTTTTTAAATAAATGAATGTTTACATTTATACCAGGTCCATGGTCTCATTCTCAGTACGATTATTATATCATTTTACAGTATATATTAATATACAATGTAATTGACATTTGTGCTACAATTATGTGGACGACATAGAACACAAAAACAAATGCGTTTAAATTTTAATAATTTATAACTGAATTGAAGAAGTCTGGAAAAAATTATACTCAAAGTTTGGGTAATTTCAAGTTTAAAATAAAGTTAAATGTAATGTCTAGTAATAATAATAATAATATTCCGTGTTTATATAGCGCTCTATACATCGACCCAACAATGTGCCTAAGCGCTTTACAGATATATTATTACCCCGGACATCGGATTCAGGCTTACCCGCACACAATGTATGCACATTTTCCACTCCCTGGGGAGTATATGCATATTATACCATTTATCGTCGATATCACTTGTCTAGATAAAGAGAAGACACGTAACAGACACGAACATACCATGGTTTACGAAAAAAAGTGTACCAAGAAATTGGTGAAATATGCAATCTTCCACAATTTAACTCCTTTTGCTCTTGTTTAATACTACCAGGCCATAAAATACCTGTATATGGAAATGAAGATAAGAGATTCACTACCAAGTACTGTACATTGTCTGTTAGACTCAGAAAGGGCTCTAAACTCTATGTTTAACTATATTGTTGTGCTTCTGGCTCCTTAGAGACGTAACTCAGTTTCCTTGATGTAAAAGGTACTATATCCCATTTGCAGGCTCAAACAAATTACAAAAGGTTAAATTAAAACGGCATTTGAAAGATAAGACTAGATTTAGAACCTTCCTCAAAACGAGAGGGCTTGAACATGGCTTTTAGTGGGAAAATAACGACCACTAGTTGTCGAATCGACTTAAGTGATTGCAATCACTTATAAGTAACAGTCTGATTTCCATACCATGTTGGCCATTACAAGTAGTGGGTTATTGATATATACAAATGCTCATGTACCTGTTACAGCTCATTTTATGTATGTTATTACCAAAGAAAGAGTCACTCAACAGTGTCTGACGGTGCATTATAGAAGGTAAACCGGTTTCCTGCATAATTGAAGGCGTGGCACACCAACTGTAACTGTTACGTATCATATGTTTTGAAGTGAGGCCATTTAAAAAGTCATCATTTACAGTTGACATTTTTTTCAACGATACTCTTCCACACTAACATAAAAAGATAGAAAAAGCTCACAAATTAATCTTCACCTATCCCAGAGCTCAACATTCTCTTTAAAAGTAGGTATAGCGCACCAAAAATAAGTACAAAAAACACATGTTATTTGATGATTGCAAATGATCAAGCTTTATGAAAGCTTCAAAAAATAAAAAACAGAATTGAAATCGGTCAATGCGTTGTGATTTTATACCATTTTTTTTTAAATCGCAAAATTACCGAAAAACCTGCCAGAAATGGTCAAATTGGCAAAAATGGCAAAATTCGATAAAGTTGACAACTTAATTCATCACTTTCTCGGACACAAATAATAAATTAAATTATCAGACACTAACATATCATCTTTGTGGTAAAAAAGACAAAAAAAGAAAATTCATATATCTATTACAGTTTTGAAAACAGAAGCCAACAAAATAAGTCATTTTTGCTATTTTTGCGAATCTGCAGATATGAAAAAGTTGTGAAAATACTAAGTCCGCCTAATTAATATGTGCATACATGTATGTAATCAAATCAAAACCGAAAATGATACATCGGACAGGGTTGGAAATATTTTTTTTTTTGAAGAAAAAAAAATCATGGATATTCATCAAATATGCAAATATGCAAATTTTTGCAATGTCAATAAAATATTGCGATGGAAATTACTTAGATCACCGTCACAGCTATTTCCTCATGTTTTTCACAAATTATTCAGAAAAAACCGATCAAATGATAAGAATTTGCAGACTTTCAGCTACATCACAATATATTTTCTTTAAAAAAAAGGCAGATTTGAGGATTTATGACGATTTTCCGAGAAGCCATTCAACAGGCCATAACATTCCGCAGAGACTTAATTTTAGAGTGAAAAAAATTTGGTAACCTCATTACAATTGTGGCTATCTTGAGTGTAAACAAAAACATAATTCAATGAGTGAAACACATGAGAATATTGCATTTTTTGTAGGAGAGTTTTATACATTGAGGTGCATTTTCACCACGCAGAATAGCAGCGCGAGTCAATGGGCGATCAGCGGGCCATGTCACACAATGGCTGAAAAGACAATATTCTAATTAAATCATTTAACATATTTCCCACATGCCTATAAAAATGAAACTACACAGAATTGTAATTAAAAGTATGCTTGAAATATATGTGAAATGCAAATTTAAAAATATTGTTTAGTTTTTTAACTCATTCGCGACAATGGTTCTCAAAATATGATCGCGCAGGACACTCTTCAAAGAGGCAATCCAGCTGTTAAGGCCAGGAATACACCATTCACTGGCGGGGAAATGCATTTTATGAGGGACAATTCTTTTTGCTAAATGTTTGTGATTTACATCAAATAAATGGAAATTAAATCTTTATGAACCATTCTTCACTTATTTGTGGCTGTCTCAAAGTGTGATAATGCTTATATTTATTCAGAAATATCCCTTTTTCATGCACTGATTGTAATATATATGGACTGAAATGCCCTTCGTGGTAGTGGATTAGGCCACATGTCTAGACATTGGGCTTTGGGCTAGTCGATTAGGCAAAAGGGGTGTTTAGAAATTATTCAACCAAAATAAGGGATGGAGTCAGGCTAAGTCATGTATTGAAAAATGTGATTATATTTCCTTGTATTGATATAATATTACATTGCTTTTTTGACCAAAATTGCAGTACACAAATTATCTGCTCGTCTTTTATCTATCTTCTAGTTCAAAATCCCCCCCTGTCTCAAAATGAAATGTATACGCGCTAGACGATCATATCGATATGGCTTGGCTTAGCGCGGGAAAGTCTGGCTAGCTGGGGCTACATGTATGTGTGTGTAGGCTGTAACTGGTTATACACACTGAAAGACATGTGTTGTTCATCATGACTCATGGTCTAGGAATGCAAGTAGTTAGACTGCCAACCAGGCATTGCTTGTAACAAGCTGAACGAATATTTCTTTGATAATGAGAAATAACGAATTTGGGTAGGATTCCCAATACCATAATTATTTCAAAAATTATTTTCGAATATCTGAATCACGATGAGTCTATATTTCAAGAGGAAAAACCAGCCACGAATTAATTTGAACATTATAATGGGCTGTAAAATACTACTAGAAATTGTTGCCTATAGTAACCATAACACATCAACATAGGCAGATAAGCTAGCCCTGGCCCTGAGCTTACATAAATAAATTTGGATGAATGACCTCGACTAAACTCAGTGGAATTTCCCTTTATTATTCTTGAATATATTTGAATTCCAAAATTGTTATATTATTTTATTCCAGAATGTACAGAAATAAATACTTAACACATTTTGCTAAGGTTAATTGCTCATTTGTTGGCTAGATCTAGACTCTATAGATCTAGTCTTAATTCTTTTTGGGAAAGCAATTCCCATTACCATTCATAATCATATTTTTGACGTGGGCTAACGAGGTAAAAAAAAAAAAAAAAATTTAATTGTGTTCATTGACATTGTAGATTTAGATGTAGACTATTTTTTGTTCTTTCTTTACATAGCAAGTAGTTTTTGTTGTTGTTATTGTTTGTTTTCATCATTGGGCCAATAAGGCAGATATTAGGTCAGAGAGAAAGAAAGAAAGAGAAGGAAAGAAGGAAAAGAAAACACCTGCAAAGTCTCAGACACGGCCAGGCCAATTATTTATAGAATGGCATACACATCAGATACACTGTCTACAGTCAGTCACACAATGCACCCAACTCCACGCAGACAGCCTAGCCCATACACACATACACACAGATCATACATCACACAGTTTAGCCTACACACACACAATCACTGCTGCTGCACACATACATACACCCATCTAACACAGAGAATCGGCTCTGCTATAAACTGATTTTCGTCGAACAAAACTTACCATAAAATACAGGAAATAAATATAACATGCAAAATATGTCCACCAAAATGAAGCAAAATCACAAAGTTTTCGAAATAAAGTGAAAACAAATAGATACAGTGAACAGAAATACCAAAAAAAAGAAGAAAAAGAAGATCAAAAAATGGATGGTTTATCGTCGCACAATCTAACTACAATACATGGAGGTATTCATGGCATGCGAAGTATTGCGATAGCTGTGATCGGTCTCACAAACGCGCGCGAACATGCCCTTGTTGCTAGGCAGAACTGGCGGGCAACAATAGCTTCTATGAATATTCATGTAGGCTCGTACAGATTTTGACTAAAACGACCAATAATGGGCCTTTTAAAATTTATAACTCATAGTAGGATTTTTTTCAAGTCTAAGTAAAGAGTGCTCTGATTGGCTAATATTTTTCTGCAGAGTTTGACTGACTCAGAGGTCACCAGACGTTCTAGTTTTTTTGTAAACACAGCAAACCACATAATGTGGTCGATTGTCGCGAATGAGTTAAAAATAAATTTACAAAAATTGCTATTTCTACCAACTTCGCGGGGCAGACTCTGTGCACAGGCAGTGTGATCACCCTATTAAAAGGTTGATGTGGCGGTTGACTTGGAACTCCTCCTAATTGCCCAAGTGCTATCTCCAACACGACGACCAAGCCGAAGCTTCAGCGCTGTTTTCACCTGGATGAATATCGAGAGAGAGGACAAATATTGATAACATGATCGCAAATACCTTCGAAAAATCAATCTAAGGAAATATCAGTGGCTTTGTCAAGCACCTTTTTAAATGTGCGAACATTTATTCATTTACTCACTTACTTATTTGTTTATTTGTTTGTCAATTAATGTTATTAATTATTCATAAATGTATTTATTTATTTTGTGAGAACACGAACGCAAATAGTTTGGAAAAAAACAAACTATGGGAGTTCCAATAGCCTTATCTACTACGTACTGAATTGTGCGATTTATTTAAAAATATGAATTATGCAATGCGTATATGATTTATGTGGGCTATATACAATTGCTATGGTATAGCTTAAACAAAGTTCACAATGAGAACAAAATAAATGAAGAGAAAAAAGGATATATATATAAAGGGGTTGCTAAAGTAAATAAAGAAAAGAGATCATAGAACAAAACCTTAGTGTGTAAAAAAAAAAAACAACCTCCGTGGGTCTTATTATGTTAGCAAAAATAACTTTATTAAAGCTAGACCTAAGGTTGACTTTTAAGCCACCTTAAGCTGATTCCAGTACTCTCAGTAAACGAGTGTAGATGCATTGTAAATTTGATCAGAAAACACGAGGAGTCCTTAAATACTCAAAGCTAGTATAACATTATAAACAAAAAGAAAAGGACATTTTCTTATTGTATACTGTAAATATTCAACAAAATATCTAATCACATGAGAAATTTTATTTATCGCCGTATTACCTCATTTTAAGTTTTCGAAAAATATTACATGTATTCATGAGATTTTATTGGAATAGTGTTAAATGACGTAACGAGGTAACAAAGAACTTACAGCCGGAACTAGCAAGCAGTGAAACACCAAAATGGAGACACCCTGTAATCATACAAAATAAAAAGAAATGAGAGAAACTTTTAAAAAAAAAAACGTTTCTGATGGTGGGGGAGGGGGATATAACGTATCGAACGCATCAACAAATAATTCAATTTCAATTCAATTCAATTCAAGCTATATTAAAGACATTTGTCGCAGCCCAATGGCTGAATTGGTCATGTGTACAATTAGGTACTCCATGTTGGGTGTTGGATGTAGCAAAATCCAGACAAAGCTTTTCCCTTCTTGATTCAAGCGTTGAAAGATCACATATTTGGCAACCATTGGTATAATTTGTGTATCGTGGACCCAACATGATTCTACATACTTTTTGTTTTAACTTGCTCCAAGCTTTTCATTTGTTTCTGTGTAAGCCCACCATTCAAAACTGAGGTACAGTATTCCATGACAGGACCATTTCACCATTTTCATAAAGATTGTGGAGTAAAATAACTAGATAATGAGTGGTCGATAAACCAGGGCGGTTTCCAAATTGCCGGGCCTCAATTTTTTCGACGAATCCTCAAAAAGCCATTTTATACTGTAAAAAAAAAAGTTGGGCAGATGTTCCTGGGCAAATCAAAGTTGGGCAGATTTTTTCCAATATTTGGGTTATTTTCTCCCAACCATTTACTATATGAAGTTACCTCATGAAAGTAAAAAAGTAGGTTGGGTAATGTTATTGGGCAAATTAAAGTTGGGCCATTTTTGTCCGACATATGGGTTATTTTTTCCCAACCATTTACTACATGTATTTACCCAATTAAATGTTCGAAATAAGTTGGGCAGATGTAACTGGGCAAACTAAAGTCGGGCAACATTATTATTCAACAATAAGGTTATATTCTTGTATAAGAGGTGTCGTGGTCGAGTGGATATGTCACAGGACTGATGTCCTTTTACATATAATATATATAATATTTTATTCAACTTCTTTGCCCAACTAGTAATATGCTACACAGTATGGTGAGAATTGGGTGAATTTCTGATTGGGTAAATTTTTGTTGGTTAAAAGTTGGGTATTTTCTTTTTATCCAACACTGGGTAAATCATGCAAAATCTTTAATTTACCCAACAGTTGGTTGGACACATAATCGCCCTCATGTCTGGTAAAAATTGGGCAAGTTTTTGCCCAGTATTTATTGGAGTGTATGAAAGATCCTACAATTTTCGCTAATTGACTTGTTATTGCAATTGGTCGGAGATTATTAATGGTTTCTGGTAATGGTTGCGAAATAGGGGTGATTTGACCTTGCATCCAATGGGAGCAAAGCGACCGGCGGGTGAGGGAGTCGAGTCGCGATGCGATTTTTCGTAAATTTGTTGTAGATGTGTCGGGTAATCTGGACCTGACACTTTGGCTGTAAGAGGGGTGCATTTCACAAACGTTACACCTGACCCTTTTAGATTTAATGTTTGATTATTCATGAAAGTTCGTGTAACCGACGACCGACGCGACGCGACGCGACACCCGATGGAACGAAGTGAGCCATATTGAAGGGTTTTCGTTTTCATACCTGGAGGGAGAAACAGATGATGAAGATGTACTGAAAGCAGATGACAGCATCAGATTGGGTGAAACTGGTGATGGTTCCAGCGATCCAGGTTAGACCAAGGATTGGTAGGAGAATGCATAACGCACGAGCCGTTGCCCTGTATAAAAAAGTGAGAAAAGAACAGATCAGTTGATGATAGGAATAACGATATGATTTGTTTACCCACGGTAGCCCCATCAGTATTGTAAGGGGTCTCCCTGATGACCCGGCGATCATATTATTACCTCGGCTACGTTAAGAGAGTCTTGCCGGAGGAAATTTAGCATCGTAGTCTTGGGGCTTATCCACTGCACCATGACACATGGATTAATACAGTTGCTATACAGTCGGAGGCGGATAGTCCGATTTTGTAAGCTAGGCAAGAGAATCCTGACCATCTTAGTCAACGTCATTGATTAAGTAACAATAAGAACTTTTCCTTTAAAGTTTTCATTATTTCAGTCCACCCCACTACTACATATACTCGAAGACAAACCTCAGGAATACTTCAAGATGTTCGAAATATATGTTAAGCTAGCGAGACTCATTTCCTCTTTGCATGGTATTTTTCTGAATTCAGAATTCCTATTTTTATATTATGTTAGGGGTTCTTGGGAATGAATAGCATCTCTATATCTAAACTGTAATTTTGAAATAATTTGAGGCGTAAAACATTCACAACTGAGTGAGCCGGTAATACACCAAAAACTCTATCTTTGTCGTATGGATCTTTAATAAAATAATTTCTCCAAATGCAGACGTTTCTAGATGACAGTTTTTAATCAAATTACGAGAAAACAACTTTAGTTTGACCTCTTTGACTTTCTGGAACATTGATGACCACTTTTTTCTAACTCAGCCTGTCGACCCAGGCAAAGCGATGGGAGAGAAATCCGAAGAACGCGCAAACCGATTTTTTTTTAATTAAAAAAAAAAAACAAAAAAATTATTTTATTTTATTTATTTTTTTTTTTTTTTTTTTGGGGGGGGGGGGGAGGGAATGACAATTTCTTGAGGTACTGGTAAACAGATCTTACTTGATCTTGTCCATTTCATCTTTCTTCTTGTTTGCCTTCAGGGAACTGAATGCTTTCATGACGAAACACAACACCGTGAAACTGAACTACGGGTACAAACAAAACAGAATGCAAAAATATCGTTCATTAGAACTTTACACCTATTGAGTTAAAAACAATAAGTTATATCATTTGGATAGATAGGCAGATATTGCTTTTGCCGTAAAACAAATTAAGTTTTTTTTTATATCGTCCTGTTATTATGTAAGTTCATTAAGTGATATTTTATATATTATATATACGTATGAATACATAAGAATCTAAAGTTTAGCCATAAGCGATTAAGCTAAGTTTTTAAAGAAAACAAAAAATCAGCATAAACATATTACCATATCATCAAAACTCTCATTACTACCAAAAATTCATGACTTCGTTAATTAAGTTTATTCTTCATAGATTTACTTCATTTTTTCAAAGAAATGCAGTACTTTGTAAGAAATAATTACATTAATGCTCAATATTTGCCCTCCATAAGCTAGTAAAAACTGTATAGCCAGTTTTACTTCAGTCCTCTGTTAAACATCAGGCAAACTCCAATCATTACATCTTACCAGTTCTGTTGCGCAGACACATCCTACAAATATGTAGATACTGTCGTCTTCAACGTGTAACCAGCAGCTGAATACAAAATATATTTCACGACACTATTATTTTTATTCAATTAAGATCAAATTACAATTTATTTTGTATTTATTATTGTTATCATTATTATTATCATTATAACTAGTATTCTCATCACTTTAAATATTAATGATTTATTATCATAATGATAATAATTATGATCATTATTATTATTATTATTATCATTATCATTAGATTATATCTTTATTATTACTATTATTATTACTATTATTATTTCCATCATCGTAATCATGATCAATAATTATCAATAATATCATCATCATCATTATAATCATCATCATGATCATTTCATTATTTGCTGTAGAATTCACCAAGTATCGCGAGCCATAAATAAGATACACATTATAGTCCAGTATACTAAACAAACTCGGTTGTTTACAAGTTGCTTAGATTATTAAGAAAAACCTCTTTAAAATGATATAGGCTAAGCTAAGATATTTAAAAAGGGAATAACTGAATGTAATTGTGTAATCTGAACACAGCAACTAATGTGAAGTCCAATGCTATAACTGAATTATTTTGATATTTCTTAAGAATATCCAACGGATTTTATGGAAGTTGTGAAACAATCAAAATTCGAATTTTCATTTAATTTCCAATTACCCAAGTAAAGGAATGATCACTAAATTAACATTTAGATTAGATAATCTAAAATGTTTAACGACATACGTACAGCGGAAAATACTCTTTAAAGGGAAAGTACACCTTGATATTAACTTGGTTTTTATAGAAGCAGAAAAATGAGGGAACCAAATATTAAGTGAAAAATTGAGCAATATCCGATTAAAAAAAGGAATGTTATGCTTTTGTTAGAGCTGTCATCAGGTAAAAAAAAAAATAGCAACACTGTGACGTATTTTGCGAGCTCCTCTCCAGTTTGCTCTTTACAGGATATTTCATTTACTTTCATTTATTTATATATTGATGACGGAATTGATTGTTTCACATATTTGCAATACTTATAGGGCGAATATCTCATTGTACATTTTCTTAACGGAAAATATAATGTCTTTGAAGTTTTGTTTTTATTACAGGGCCAATTTCTGCTTCTACTAAAGCAACTTAATATCATGGTAGACTTCCCCCTTCATAGGCCGTCTGTACCACCCAGGGTGGTCACTGACAGGTGGCTATCTCATCAACTCAGCTCTCAATTAACATAAGAAAAAGAGGATCATGGGGGACCAATGGTCACCGATTAGGCTTTGTTTTTTTATATAGAGGGAGCAAGTAGCTACGATTAGTATCGTGGGGCTTTAATAGACAAGTGATCAATGATATACAGAAGCCTCTGTTACTCACAATACAGATGTTCCATACGTGTCAAAGAGAACACCAAAAGACACGCCGACAACCACGAGGGAGCCTCCTGAAATAATTGAATTGAATCGAATTGAAATTAAAAACTGAAGGTTTATTGATAAAAAATTCAATGTCCCAACTCGAATTTACGAATAAAACTGCAACATATAAGATACATCCAGATAGTGCAATGTAAAATAGGCAAATATGAGATTAAGAAATTTAGTGATGAAATTGATATGATAAGGAATATTAAGAAAGGGTGAAGAAAAAGAACAAAATTGTAAGAAGGAGAAAACAAAAGAAATAAAGGGGGAAGAAAATATGGTAGAGTGGTAAAATAAGAGTTAAGAACAGATATGTTCTTAAATCAGTGATAAAATTCAGTACAAAATTAGGAAATTAATGATGAACCTGTCCCTTACTTGTGTAATATATGTAGATACTATTTTGATTAATACAAAAGCCTCGTGCATTAAAAATTAAACAAAATCTATTAACACATTGTACAGTGTAATGTTAATAATTGAAAACTATATAATAATTGAAACTTCGCAATGAATGGCTAACTTTGGCCATGTAAAAACATTATTTTCTGTTGGAAGAACAGGAGGAAATAACGAGATGAAGGAAAGAACAATTAGGCCCCCCAAAAGGATTAGGGAAAAGGGAAAGTGGGTTAACTATTGCCTTGTATAACTATAAAAACAATGTCCAAAGTGACATCGGTAGATGAATTTGAATGATGTGATAGTACCGAATGCTTTCATATTGGAAACATCTTAATAGATTAACTGTCATCAAATATATTTGCGAATTCAAGAAAAGATGTTTGAAAAACAATTGAGCTGGGTAAAATATCATCAAAATCGATTGACAAGTCGAAAGATAACTACAAGCAAAGAAGATGGCAATAGGGTACTGAATATAAGCATCGACTGATCAACCAATGGCCAAAGAAACCGCCATATAATCATAAGAGACATACCTGTATTGTCATATTTACATGGTTGGATATAGACTTTTTAATACAAGATAAGGGCCCCGTCTTATAAAGAGTTGCGATTGAACCTAATCAATCGCAAGTCCTCTAATTAATCCCAAGTTTGCAGTCCCCTGTCTCTTATGTACATAGTTGCGATTAATCGCAACTGTTAATAAGACGGGGTCCTGGTTTTGAAAGTAGAGAACTTTTAGATTTACACGACGAGAACGTGGACCTCTACGTGTGACATCCTTTTAAGGCAATGTGACGTCACTGCCAGTGCCTTAAAATGACGTCACATTGCCTTAAAAGGATGTCACACGTAGAGATCCACGTTCTCGTCGTGTAAATCTAAAATTTCCTAATAGCTTGCTATATACAAAGAGGAAACTAAATATGCTTTCTAGCAGGAAAAAAGTGAGCCATTTTTTTATTTTAAAAAACTGATTTTGAACATGTTGAACAAACCACTTAATAACAACTTTTATTCTACATTATGAATTTGTTATGAGTTAGTAATGGAGAACACTGTTAGAAGTCTCCCAACCGTCCTTTGATATGGACTTTCACTAGCGCCAAACATAGCGACTTGTTGCTATTGAGAGAGGGTGTATTTGCACCACTGCCATGTGACCACGGCGCATGTCTAAAGGTGTTTTAGCAGTGGGGAGTTTCCTCTTGAATGAACAGTTTTGACAGTGTAAGTGCTAGATTATTACCATGACTTTAATACTGCTAACGCATTTATTTACCAGGTGAGTTATTAAATAATGAGGTTGTGCTTATATTTTGTCGGATGATACGAATTCCCAATTCCACAACACTTGTTAGCAGGTGGTGCTTTTATATGCGGCCCCTATCGGAAGCGCCAGGTTAATAACGGAAAATCGATATTTCAGGCAATAGTGGACACCTGATTTCGGTCTTACCGTAAGCGATAAGACTCAGCCACCCAATCCTAAGTGTCTTGCAGCCCACGGCAGTCGTACGGTACAGAAACACGCCCTCGATCATGGTCCATGCAAGAGCTGATGTGAACAGATAGTGTAGTGTCACTGTCACGCCCTTACAGAGTACCTGTCATTAAAAAATGTTTAAAACATGTGTTTACACTTCTATTTGAGAATGGATGTTGTTCTGTTTACCTATAGAACACTAAAACGTCGTCTATCCGAATTGAAATTAAGGTCTTAAAAATGCATGCTGCCACCAAATACAGATTGATTCCTCAAAACAAAAACAAAAAAAGGGTCAACAAAATCATTATCAACGTCGAATAATTGCTTTATTCAAGTCTGAACAAAATATCTCTGCCGAGAATCACATCCGGGTTGGATCGCTAATGCCTTAATATCTATGCTACAGAAAATGACTAGTGATTTCGATGACAACATTTTCAATTGATCGATTGGCAAATCTTCAGCATTGTTTGGTTCATCATTTCCTTTTGCATTTGTGATTTTTTTTTTTAGTTCTTAAGGTGGTCATGATGGTTCTGAGAAAGAAGAGGAGACTAAAATTCTCACCCTATTTTCTGTTGCCTCAGCCAAGCTGAGAAAAAGGATCTGTCCAAGGGCCGTGCATATTGCCAGGTTCATGTGAATCTGAATCTTCAGCATCTTCCAGGCTCTGTAACAAACCGTTAAACATTTTAGTGAGGAGTTGGAAGAAAAAGGCCTGAGGTGATGCGACACCTCAGGATTTTTTTTCTACCTGTCAACAGAAAAATGATGACAAAGGCGTTCCGAATCGACCACAGGCAACTTCAGTAGCTTTTAGAAACATCTTTTTATATAAGTAATAGCGCAATGGCATATTACTTAATCCGATCTTTATTTCTATTTGATGAACAAAAGAGTATCAAAACCGATTCGACCCACGTACCTCGTGGTTCAACGTCCGGAGATTTATCCACTATAGACAATAACACATTTACCTAAACCACCGGGTTCCAGAATTGAAGCTATTGTGTTAAGTCCGTTCCGCAGTAATATTCATGCGCACCTTAGCTGCGCAGGGCCAGCTGATCATGTCTACACTCTGCACTTCAGACATTGTGTATGTTGGTTGGCCCTAAACAGCTAAGGTGGGCTCGAACATTACTGCGGTACGCCATAAAAAAATCACTCACCCAGTCACACAGTAGATGAATACAGCAAGAACCAAAGAGGCGATAGAAATGCCACCAAGAATGTAAGACAGGTAACTCTGTACTTGGGCATTGACTCCTTTAGGCGGCTACATGTAAAATGAGAATAGTACTGATAATAGTTATCATAATATTAGTAATAATAATATCTTTAATAAGAATGATAATCAACAAAAAACAATAACAATTAATAGGCGAAAGAAACAAAATCAATGATCCATTCGATTGACCATCAACTATCCTTTCCTTCACCTTTTCCATGAATTACTAACTCTATTATTAAAGGGAACCAATACCCCTTCCTTCCCCTCAATTGAATAAATAAATTATTATACAAATCAAAAAATAATCAAGACATGTCATGTCATGTTTCTTTTACATTCCAATCGCATGACAAGAACTGAACTTTATATTTAAAGGCATCGTTTAACAATGCTACATCTGAGATGCATGGCTCTACGTGTTACCAGTGTCTGTGATATGGTGTTATATTGAAGCCCCAACAACAAATTGCGCTTCAAAATGATCATGAAGTGCCTCCAAAAAAAACAAATTGGAGTGACCGGTTTTACTATACTCGTCCCCCCCCCAAAAAAAAAAAAGAAAAAAAAAAAAAAGAAAACGCAAAATTTGATTTCGATTTCCAATCATAAATATCTTGATAATCAGACGGGCGATCGGCTTGTAAAAGTCATGAGTTTCCTGACTGACCTAAAGGCTTATAATTATCATTGCAGCATGAGCTAAATCCAGAATTTCTGTTTCAGAATCTAAGGCCATGTTACCGAGTCACTTTAACCACACCATCTAACAATCAATGACTTACCTTGAGAGAGAGCAGAACAGCGAAGCTAGTCAGATGACTGCTGTTGCACACAACCAAATCAGAGTCGACAGAGACGACCTGGACTCCATCAGTTGACCAAACGCTATCGTAAACAAATATGTCACAAAATTATACACAAGCGTACAATTAAAGAAATTGTTAATAAAGACTCTTAATAACGTATCGAGACGTTTGAATTATCAATCTCGGTATTTAGAACTTATACATAGTCATGTAACTCTTATTGTACATATTGTTGGATTAGAAGTTTATTTTGAGGTCGCCCCCCCCCCCTACACCAAAAAAACAAACTTGATAATCATGATTGTAAACAAATTTCAGTGAGGCACATGTGTAGAAAAAGACCACCCCCCCCCCCCCCGAGACAAAATTGCATATACATACTTCAATTATAAGTCAAGACTCCAGTTTGCAATGTAGTTTAGCCAATTGGTTTATTGTTAAAGCTCGAAATTTCGACGTATCATTACGTTTTACGAAAATGCACAAATGCATAGCAAATGGAACGCGTGACTCGTCATTACAGTCCATATATTTTCTTTTTTTAAAGCAGTGTCTGATTACCTGCCGTTCACCTGGTAAGCACAATGCACCCCACTGGAACCGTCCTATATAAAAATTTAAAAGAATACAAAAATCAAAATCTCAGATAGATAAAACTTTAGCTTCGGGCTTGTTATCAGAAAAAGTGGATACATCAAAGTACATTTTGGAGTATAACGGACTGTTCCGCTTTAAGGAGCTGGCACTTTTGTTGATGTAATTAAGCAAAGGTTTGTCACTCAAAAAACAAAAAAATTAGAAAGGATGATGATCATGATAATAATAGTAGAACTAGTAGGATCAGCAGCAACAGTTTTAGTAGTAGTAGAAGTAGTAGTAATGATGATAATGATCATAATAATATTCATGATAATACTGATAACAACATCGAGAATGAAAATAATAGGATATATTAACTTTAATAAGTCTTATATTAATGATGTAGATGATAATATTTAATCTTAAAGATGATGAAAATGTATAACTATACAGGGTAGAAATTCTCCTGAAAGAATAGATCATCAGTTTAGAAGGCTTACATGCATTATTGTTACCTATTATATTTTAATTTTCACCTCATCACCCACCATGTGTATAAGCCTGCTTTGTGTTCAACAAGTATTTTGAAAGAGTTGAAAAGTACCTGATAACGAATCAGATAACTATTCTTATTATAAAAGATTTACGTGATGGTCAATCCTTGGAATGTCTTTGGTCATCGGCGTTAATCAGCAATCCCATTATTCAGTGTAGTGTCTTTTTTTGTTGGTCTGGTATCGGTCTCGATTACCCTCTTTCGTGGTCTAATGTAGGAAGGGGAGCCGTTTTCTACGCACCTAATATTTCTCTCGAAATCGGAAACATTTTCCTATTGTATTCCTTTTGTCCTAGATCTCATTTTTCTCTTTATATTCCAGGGAGTATGTGTGCCGATTTTTTTTGGTCAAACACACCCCAGAACAGTGTAATTTTCACAAGAGAAGGCGGCGTTGTCATTTTAAAATTGCAAAAACAAAGGTTCCAATATCTGCGAACTCGATCACTTTTCTCGCAGTTGATATGATATGAGGTTTTTAGAATCGTTAAAGAACAAGAAATTGGCCCGATCTTGCTGATATTCACATGTACTGAATATAGAAATGTGTAAACAGGACTAAATAAACAATCGGCACGAGGTATTGTCCCCAAGATTTAGCTGTCACTAGTCATATTTCGAATATGAGGGCATTTGAACAGCCATCCTTTTCAGGGGATTTTTTGTTTCTATTATTCTCTTCAACACTAGGAAATAACGTATACAAAGAATGAAAAAGCGCACAAATTATTTGTCGCCTTTCATAGAACTCAACCTCCCTTTAACCAAGTAGCGATAGTGTTGTCTCACCGTTGGGGGGAAACCTTTGGTAGGCTGCATCATGAAGGTTATTTGCACAGAACCATTGGAGAGATTGATGGTCGTGTCGCCGTCAATGAGTTCGATCTTGATCACTGAGCTAATGATGCTGACAATGTTGTTCTCGTCAGCGTTGTCGGTGAGCTTTACAATTTCCGCGCCATCTTGGATATCCTCCCGGTCTGTGTAGGCGTGGTGGACGGTCACTGTTCGGTAAAGATGAGACAGAGAGGGGGAGTATCACAAACCGCGCGTATCAAGATTCTAGACCTCTGATTACTAAAAAACTGCAGTCATGATATTGAACGTTGATAGCTAGCCAGTATATCGAAAGATATTGACTGAGCATAGCTCTGCTTGAGCGTACAGTGCAAGGAAGCAATAGATGCACACGAAGTTAAAGAAGACCTCACCCCGAAAGAATAATTGTAGGTGTTCTAAGATATTCTTGGCATAATGTGATACATTATAGCATGACAGGGGCGCAGCCATTTTCGTGAAAATGTAACGTACCAGTTGAAGTTGTACATGTTTCAGCAGCGTACTGCCCTTATATTGCCCTGTTGACAAATAAACCCATTTTGTCAAGCTTATTTTGTCATAATATCCCCTTTGAGAATCCACACTCAGGACGTGGTACAACAAAACAAGTACTGACTGCCTTTTTATTTTCTCGAGAAACCATTGCACGATTACAATGTATCCCGTGATTACAGCACACAATTTGGTAGGTAGTAAAAGTGGTGGCTTTTTTTTATAAACACATAGGTCCGTAAATCATGACACGGGTTGCGTTCAGTGTAGCGAAACATTGACATTTGTACATGCCCCTACCATTTCTATCATTCACTGAACCGAAGTGGAACGTGAAGGTTAAACGGCACTGCTGGCTTCCAGATGAAAGGCCCTCACGAGCTTCCTCAGACGCCCCGCTGCCGCAAACCTACGTATACAAAAAAGTTCAGATTAAAACCAGTGGGGCTCCATGGAGCAACGGGGGCACATGCATCCCCCACCCACAAATACAACAAAAGGGGAAAAGGAGAGAAGATTGGAATAATGGGCTTTGGAACTTATGCAGACAGTTGCAACCGATTCAAATCGCTGGCAACTTGACATCGATCGTAACTGTTTGCGATTTTGGTTGAAAGAGTAAAGTGAATGAGCCACTGTACCACAACAACAAAGATGGTACATTTAAAACTGTTTCTGAATTTTGGATGAGATTCTTTTTTATATCCCTGTATCAAGAGAAATTTATCTCCTCTGACTGATGAACCATGTTGTCCCCATACCGTTATCTAATACTTGATATTTTGTTTTCGATATATACCAGATAATGGATATTTGAAGTTGACTATGGATACACGCATATGCGCGTACTACTCTTAGATTGGTAGATTTTCTACAAATTAATATATTTCGAAATACACATTACGTCAATATTTATATATATATATCCATTTTTGACAATCCAGTCGCGATATGCGGTATATAAAAGAAATATTGACTGTTCATTTTTCGGGTCACAGTTAAACCTGTAGCTCCTCGGTGATCTCAACACTTTACGATGCCGCTCGATTTCGTCTCTCTGGCACGGTACAAATTTGACATAATCCTGGGCAATAGTTTTAACCATGCCCCTCAAAGCAGTCGATATTTGTATTTCACCGATGCATTTACCGATGTAGTCAGCTGCGTCGATGATAATGACATACTAGTAGTAAGATCAGGTGGCATTAATGGTCCTGTATTAGTGTAAGTCGGTGTTGTAGAATCCGGTGGAGTTGACGTAGCTTGGTCCGATGTTTGTGATATTGTTGTAGGAAGGGTTGTCGTCTCATCGGCAACTGGCGTTGTTGTAGAAATGTTAGGTGTCACTGTTGATGTGTCTGTAGTAGGGTCCTGTAATCACATTAAATTTTGGTTCACTAAGTGCTGATTAATATTGACTAATTAAAGTAAATGTTGATAAGAAATGCATGGGAAGATAAAATATGATGATAAAGGTTATGTTGCAAACGAGCTTATTAGTCATGGACTTAAGTGTACCACTCACTCGTAAAAACAAATTGTTTGCAGCTTGGATATTCACTGTTGGTCATAATAATTATTTCTACCCCAATTTATGGAATGATTTTGACAAGGATTTATTCCTAAGAGATCTAGATAATAGTAAACATTCTCAGATTTATTTTTCCTGGTACTTCGTTACCGAATTTCTTTTATCGGTATTGTCAATGTCTGGATTGGGTCTTCGCTCCTAGACTACATGTAGTTCATCCAAGTTCAGGACGCCGAACAGTTTAGCTTCTCTGAAGTAGAACATTGACATTCTTCAAGATCAACTTCGCGATGTGTCTTTCGTCGACAAGTCTTCGCAACATTTTTGAAAGACATTGAAGTTTGATGTCCTATTATTCAATCTCATATATTCTCAAATCAAAAGTTTATTCTATTTTTATTCAGGTGAAACGAAATATCTTTGATTGTATGAACTAATAATTTTTTGGATTATATACACTGTTTTGTTTTTATATTGTCTTCAGTTTATTGACTAGTCTGGGTTTTCTTCGTTTATTACAGAGACCTTCACTTTGTCAAGTGAGAAACCAGTTCAATAGCTGAATTATAAATTAAGGTTACTGAACTGTAATTATTTTGTTCCCAAGTGCTTATTTATCTTGAGAGATCACGTAGTTAAAAAGGGATGCTGAGTTGCCGTGTTGGTGTGTTTGAATTGTTATTGCTTTAAAAACATACCAATACTTTCACTCTCATAATTTAGAAGAGTCAGTTTCGTCCCAACAGAGGGTAGAAGGAATTACCTCCTGATTTAATATTACATCTAAAAGAAAGGAAAACACTGTATTTACCAAGGCTGGAGTAGTCCCTTGGACTGGAGGTTCCCCGTTTCCAGCCAACACACCTACGTATAAACCAGAAAACAGAAATTGCTCGAATCATTTGAACAATATTATTAAAAGACGATCTGAATGTAATATAATAGAATTTTATTGCAGTACTTATGCTTTGGCGACAATAGACTAATGTATGTATTTATATGAGTTTTGGCATGTTTCTCTCCCGAATCCTCATTTACTAACTACACGTATTTGATGCATCTGCCTCTAATTTAGTTACAAAATGGCATCTTTAGCGATGAAATGCACGTTGCATTCACACTATGAAGATGACAGACAAAGAAAGCGGACAAAATATACAGTTCCTCAGGTAGACAAAGGAACATCCCTTCACTGCTATTATGTAAAAAGGTGAATATGCATGTGACACCTGTTCTACACATGTTTACATAATAGCAGTGAAGGGATGTTCATTTATCTACCTGAGGAACTGTATATTTTGTCCGCTTTCTTTGTCAGTCATGTTCATAGTGTCATACACTAGTTTTTGCTATGTCGGTCAAGTTTTTCAGTCGTCAAGAGAACTTTTTGTTTAAAAAGTATGCATAGAAGTAGTAACCAGGTCAGCGTTTCACGAAACCATGTAAGTGCACGTTCGCCTACAACCCATTGCGACGCGTGTATTAAATATAAAGCGCCTTTAAATGGGATGTAGGTGAAAAAGTACTTATGACGGTTTTGTGAATTGATTCACAGGTCTATTGCTACGGGGTTGATTTCCAATTTTCGAAGTAATACCGTCAAGCCTGGCACCCAACACTAAACCAAACCCGAACTCTAAAACTAATTCTAAGCCCAACCCAAACATGATCGAGAACCAAACACTAGTCTCACGAACGAAACCGACATCAAATCGAAATAAGACCGAACAAAAATATATCGGTTTCCACATTTTGATCCGTTATGATTCGATTTGGCGGTGTCATCCTGGGATATCTAATACTAATAATGATAACAATATTGGCACACTGCCATTTTTGGTGTTCAATTATCCACCACCTCATATCATTAACGATTTTTCGCTCAGCGACAGACAGACCTTCTACGACGCACGAACACTCAATGTTACGTCCGTCGCACATAGACCGCCCTCGTTACAATAAGCGGTTTCGTTTTTCGGTAAACGCGTACGTATAGTACGGAGGTATTGCAATGCAATGCCAATACGCAATTTTCGTAATGTAACAAAATTGAATGCATACGTCTTTGTGAAGTGGCTCGATACAAACTATTTCATTCACCTGATAAGAATAATAGTATTTTAATAGACAGAATCCGAACTGCATACATTAGTTGTTGCCAGGTGACAAACATTAAACTAATGAGGACCGGAGCAAATGTCGCTCGAGCAATTTGGGATCACAATGACATGTTCTATTTGCCTCAATTACTCTAGCATAATGGTATTCATCAATCAAACAATTTAATTTTATGGAACATTCCACACTTCAAAAGACACCGTGTTTGGAAACTAGTGTCATTAAACAGATCGCCAATAAAATCATTTATCAGCGTTTAATGAAAAGAAATATGGCAAAGCGGGGGATGTGTATTATGAATTAATTTTCCATTAAGAAAACCTACGTATTTACTTTATTTGTAATCAATCAATATGTTTACGTCATTATGTACCACAATGACGGGTGTAATTTACTAGAGCATGAAAACAAATCCACGAAAAATGAAAATGAAATTCATAAAATGCCTATTGATTTGATACATACCCTACCTTATCGATTTCAACACACATTATAGCAAAACTGAATGAGTTAAACAGCTATACAAAATGTTGTTACATGTATTAAAATAGAAAATGAAATGGCGTTTAAATCAGCGTAAGAAAAACAAATAATTAGGAAAATTAAAATCAATAATTTGTAGCAAGTTTCGCTTTTAAAAAGGTTCCACATAAAATGTCTCTTTAAAAATGCAACCAATTTCCCCTCTCTTTTTGAATGACGATTTCTCTAAAAGTTACATTTCATTTTTTTCTTTTTCACATTGAAGCTACATTATGGTCGTCGCACACGAGGCGTCATTGCTATTGCGTTATTACTTGTGCTACTCAAGCTATGATAGCGTTAGCCTAAGCACACGCTTAGCAATGTGCAATATTCATTATGCATTCACTTGTTTTACGATGTCTCACTTCCATTACTGGTAAATAAGCCGTTGCACATTAGGTGCTGTTAGGGACTTTTAGATTAGGGAACTTTAGATTTCCACGACGAGAACGTGGACTGCGACCTGTGACGCAATGTGACGTCCTTTTAAGGGACTGGCAGTGACGTCACATTGCCTTAAAAGGATGTCACACGAGCAGTCCACGTTCTCGTCGTGCAAATCTAAAAGTCCTTATGTGTTGAGGTATGACTGCGTCAGCAGCTTATGCCGTTTTTGACAAATGGTGTGAGAGTAACATCGTATATTAAGGGGTAAATGCAAAATGAGCCGGTGAGACAATGCGTTGACTTTCACGGGTACGGGATTAGTGCGTCACAGGGTTGATCAGCGCAGGTAATGACGCAATCGAATTGACGCCTCGTGTGCAGAGGGCAGTACATACTCACAGTCATATTCAGCATAAGCATAGCTTCGATCTCCAGAGCAAATTTGTGTGGATCCTGTGCATGTGAGGACACATGGGTTCTTTGCACTACAATACAGACCCCACTGTGCTGTCTGCAATGCAATACATTGTCACGTATTCAAATTATGGAACAAGTTAAACCGGGACCCCTTATAATAAAATTCGATTTACGATCTATCATAAATATCCCAGTCTTGTACTAGTAAACTCAATCCTACCATGCATTGTTTCTATCTCTTACATTTAATTAATCGTAAGAAAGTATTTATAGTTAGGTTACGATTGATTAGAGGTGGAGGAGGTAAGATACAATTTTTGAAGCTACGATACATTTTTGGAGATATACAATAAATCGTACCTGTTATGCTACATGCCCCTCGTGTAACTGAGTCAATAACTTTATGAAGCGCAAAAAAATTAGCTCTTTATTTCTACTCATATTACTGTAATCTAATTACAAATGGAATGATAATAAAAAGTTCTCAACGCGCTAAGTAAATTGTAAGAATGAAGTAAAACAAAAGTGTACCCAGCCATAAGAGGACAATGTGAAAATGATTTCATGTTGAGTTTTGTTTGATCATTGGGTTACAGAATTATTGAACATTTTACAGGATTAGGAAAGCACTCTATAAGACAGGGGACAAAACTTGAATATGATATGCATTTATTACTACCAGCTTATGATTTACAATGACTTGACGTCTATTATGGAAAAGTCTAGAACGATTATTTACAAATATTAAAAGCAATCCTCGCAAAAATCATGATTTTATAGTGAAAATTCTTATTTAAACAATGATACCCAAAGGTAGTAATACCTTGAATGCGTTCAGTGCCTTAGGGCTTTTCGGCGAAAGCCAGGGTAATAATAGAACCATATATATATAAGCAGCTTGAGTTTCCTCTAGGATGGATGTGTGGGCAATATAGCTATAGTTATGTCAATATTACTTTTATAATCATTAAATTTGTCCGGATGTGTTTGTCCGGAAGGTAGCTATCGGAACGTCGCTGTCTAGAGGTAGTTGTCCGAGGGTAGTTGTCTCGAGCATAGTTGTCCAGAGGAACAGTTGTCAAGAGGCAGTTGTCCATGGGTGGTTGTCCAGATGTTGTTATGTAGAGGGTAGTTGTTCATAGAATATTTATGAAGAGGGTATTTGTGCATTTGGTAGTTGTCCGTTGTCCAGAAGATAGTGGTAGTTGTCCGGACATAGTAATCCGGAGAGAGTTGTAAAGAATATACTTGTCCAGTCATAGTTGTCCAATGGGTAGTTGTCTGGATCTAGTTGGCCGAATCTTTTGGGGAAGGGGGGTGCAGATGTTTTGGAGGTGGCTTTCCGTACAACTACCGGTCTAGAGCAGCGTTTTTCATCCGGGGTGCCAAAAGACACCTCTAGGAGGGCCGCGAGAGACTTCGGTTAATAAAAAAATCTCTTGGAATAAAATGTCGTGAAAAACAAATATCAGAAGACCCTAGAGAATGGATATAGGATTTTAAATATATCAAATTGTTTTGTGTTCCTGGCTCGCAGGACGATTATCATGATCACAGGCAGCAAAGTGCCTAAATATCCTCATGTATGATTTGTGTATTCATGTATATTCGGTGGTGCTGTGCCCGCTACTTTATGTTATATCTTAGCCAGTATATTGATTACAATATATATCAAAAAATTACCTTATAACATATGTCATTATAATTGGCTCGCTCGCAAAATTTGAGACAAATTTGCATGTGTGCATGGCACTTTATGAGTGCCAGAGTAATGCAAAATAAATCTTCTGTGATGGATTGGGGTGACGCAAAACTGTTTAGCTCTTCAAAGGGTTGACAAACGCTGGTTCAGAGGGTCTGATCCATATTAACAAAACCTTACTAAGTTATTTGTCAACTGATATTATAAGACGGGTTCTAGAATGTAAGCAATCCGATTGGTCAATTGACATCACGTGGTTGTGTATTAGTTCTTCCCATCGTGCAAAACATCTCCCATCAAAACTTGATAACACACGCTCGATATCTGCCGATATCGCTTTCGCGTAATTCAGCCAAATTTAATTTGTGCATAATTTTCAATATCAATATCTAGATCTAGAATATTCTAGACCTAGATCTAGTTAGATCTAACTTAGATCTAGATCTAATATCTATCCATACTCTAGATCAAGACTATATAGTAAGAAAGTATTGCTGACCCGTCTTATAATACAAATAATGCACTGTTTCGCTCCTGTGTTAGCGCAGTTCCAGTGCACTCAGTTTAGTCAATGCGTTATCACCTATGTGCACTGACTAAACTTCGTGCACTGGCCTTGCGCTAACACACTCGCACCAGTGCATTACTTGTATACTATCGGTTATAGTTCAAAGCTAGATGAAAACTGGACTTATTTAGGTTCCATGAATATGAGCACTTTTGTCTGAAGGTTTTTGACCGATCACGCTCTCACTCACATAATTCCCGTCACAGGATTCAGCCAAAGACTCGAGTAAGGCTTCACATGCTGTCACGCGCACACATATGCCTTCCTTTACGACGATCGTGTAGTTCGTTTGGCAAGTCAACGACAAAGATGAGCTCCCATCCGTAATCTTTTGGCATTGTCTTCCGGTCTTAGGGTAGCCAGCTGAAAAATAGAAAATTGAAAATAATTCTTTGTAAGGGCTGAGGAGTGCCTCTTGCCCTGTGTCTCCCCAACAATGAAAATAAACGTTTAAATTGCCACCTAAATTGCAATATAGCTAGAATAAATTATAAAAACATGCTGTTTCCACAATCCTTGGTAAATTGCCAGGGCAGGATAAAATGAGGTGATCGCATTATATTTATGTCGTTATATTCTGCACCGGCGGGTTTTGACAGCGGTGGTATCCTTCGTCATAAATATTATATATATAATTATATGAACAAGCCTTTCAAATAAAGTTGACTTTGGATCATTTGATAACGCAGCGAAAGCTTGGTTAGCAGCAATTGTGAAAATAAAAGTTGATTATGTAGTACATAACAATTAATCTATGTTGTGATGTTTTGGAATCATCGAATTTATAAGAAATTCACTAAGTATTGCAAAAGACGACGCACACTACACATAGAATTTGGTATATTTGACTACGTCTTGTGCCATTAATGGTTGGTCAAAACTTAAGGTTTTTTTTTTTTTTTTTTTTTTTTTTTTTTTTTTAAAATATATGAGAGCATTTGAAGAGCAATCCATTTAAGGGGGCATTTGTATTATGATATTATTTCAGATTGACACAAACAAGAAAAGGCAAGCTCACAATTAGTTTTCCTCTTTACCAGAACTCATCCTTCTCTTTAGGGGAGCAAATTTAAACTTTTTGGGGTTATGGGTTTCAATGTTAAAATCGCGACCAGGAATAAACACAAATGTTCCACTCTTTTAGGATTCATTATGGTGGAGAACACAAAATAGAAAAATAGAAAACAAACGAACGAGCGAACCAACAAGAACAACAACAATACAATAACAATATCAGATAAACAAAAACATGTAGGTTAATACATGCTCATTATTCACCAATACTTTGAAGTGGAGTGGACTCAAATCGAAAAGCACTTATCCCTATTATGACTCCTTAGAGAGTGGATTTCCACTCCTAGTGGAATCTACTTTCAAAAGAGTTATTAACCAGTTCCAGCTGAGATCAAACATGCATTATTATGCTATTATCCTCGATCATTCATTATTGAAAAGACTGGTTATGAATAAATAAAGGACATTTCGAGTATCTTTTTCATCGGATCAAAGAGGGAGTCCATATTAATGGGATATGTTCATATTTGATTTTACAAATGTGTGTGCCCTAAACAAACGTCTGAGGAAAAATAAATACATAAGAACAGTGAAATCTCCGAACCCAATTCACTTAGAAGAACAAAATTGTCCATGTTGTTTTAACACTATACCTTTGTTCATTTGATGGGTACATGTTTCTTAATGAAGTACAAAATGCGAAAGAAACTACATGTACTATAACATTTACCCTTGTCATATTTATTGCGTTGACATGACACATCCCAATTCACGAATTGCATCAAGCAAAAAGAAATGCAAAAGAGGTATATTTTGCTTTTAATTTAAGAGAAGGTGGAGTTCTTGGAGGACGTAACAAATAATCTGCGAGCGTTATCATTTAACCATGGCTCTTTAAATGCCTTAATATTCTAAATATGTGTGTGTATTGGGTTTTTACAGACGTGTATCAATTAGATATGATTATTTACGTCTGGGGACCGACCTTTAAACGTCACCACCCGAAAGAAGTGACTCAGTTTCGAACCTGCGTCTCCGGCTGAATCAGTTTGTAACTTCCACTGTTGGATTACAGGCGCTGGATTACAGGCGCTCGCCACAACGCCTAGTTGTGGCGTGTAACATCTTTCCAACCGGGACGGATTTTTACGCCACGTGTTCGTGTAGTCCCACATACATCTTTCTGTGTACAGTGCTTGTAACTTTACCAAGACTGGGCCAAATTTCTATCATTTTGATGATTCCAGAACCCTTCAGTACACACCAATACTTATGTGCTGGATGATAAACCTTTTCCGATCGATTCCACAACGTTTCGTTCACAATGCAATCGCAATTGACCAGAACTGAACTTTATCTTTAAACACTATATATATATTTTTTTTTGAAAGGGTGATTATATCTACTTAATATATGTTTAATTATTTTACTGTCAATGATAACAATAATATATTAATAGAAACAATAACAACAACTATATCAACAACAATAACAATATTGTGAATTTATAGAGCGCTAAGTTCATTTCCAACGTCTCTCAAAAGAGATAAATAACAATATAAAAAACCGTGTCATTCTTGCTTTACATGGGTTGAAAATGGAACCAGGATGACGAAATACGATATTCGTGCAATATCTCATGGAATACGAATGATGTATTATCAACTTACCTTTGCATAGGAGGAGGATGAAGTATGATATCTGTGGAAAGATAAAATATTATATAGGTATGAATAACATTATAACAATAGAACGTTTGTAATCATGCATACAAATTAAATATGGCCATGGATTAACTTTTCATATTTTTAGCTGTTATGTTATGGGAATCTTTCTTCCACAAACACATACTGGCTCCATATGGGACCTTTTCCATACAATTAATCGTATTCTGTTTTTATACTCATTATTCATACAATATAGAAGAGCAATAATTGTTATTCTGGCAATATACAACCCCCTTAGCGTACAAGTATATAAGTACAATTATTGATATGTCATTAATTTTGATATTTTTCTTTTCTTTTTGTTGATAACCATGTTTGTCAACATCAATTTGTATGAGGAATTCTTTTTTCCGACTTTATATTAGGACATGGGGAAGAAGATAAAGAAGTAAAGAGAGCGAGAGAAAGTGAAAGCAGGACAGAGAGAAAGAGCGAGAAAGAGAGAGAGAGAGAGAGAGAAAGGGGGAGAGGACGGGGACGTAGAGACACACAGAGGGAATTGTAGGCAGAGGGAAATACAATAAGAGAGGAAGAAAAAGAGATGGAGAGATAGACGGAGATAAGAAGGAGATGGAGAGAGATAAAAGACAGAGAAATACAGAGAAAGACAGAGAGGGGGAGAGAGAGAGAGAGAGGGGAGAGTAAAGAATATAAAGAGTAGATGAAGCACGATAGAAGGTAGATAGATAGAAGGGCACAATCAGTTTTTGACATTTCTAATTCCAATCCTAAATATCTTGATAATCAGGCAGGCGATCGGCTTGTAAAAGTCCTGACCTAAAGGTTTATAGTTGCAGCATGAGCTAAATCCAGGATTTTTTTTTTAGAATCTGAGGGTGAGATACTCAATCCCTTTAAAAGAGTACTTCTTTAAAAGCCAGCTTGTTGATTTCCTCAGTCACTGGTCATGTGTTAAGGTGTAGTTGTATTCTCTTTTTTAGAAAGTCGAACTCTAAAAGCGTCTGAAACCTGCTGATCTCATGATATATGTATATATGTATATCACCCTAGCAACACCATCACCAATTTAATCAGCAAATATTGATGCTGTAGCAGATTTTTTTTTTGGACAACTGCGCTATTAAAAACGAAATGTAATAACCTTTATTAACTTCGGTAGGCTGTTTTTTTTATTTGTGTGATGCCCTGCTTTTCAATAGACCCCTCATCCTTTATTATTATTTATCACCCGTACCTCGTTCAATTGCCTGTATGAGTAAATGTTCAAATATTAAATTTAATTGGATTTAGATAAAACGACACGACATTAGCATAATGATGTGCCGGGTTAAATGGAGAAGACCATGTTTAGATGAGTAGGGCTTAGTTCACAAACATTACCCTTGACATTTCGCGAATACAGGGGCTTGTTTTCACAAAAGTTCAGATAACGCGACCATCCGACCCGACGCAACTAGAAGATTCAAAGTCAGCCCTGGACTGGGGTCGTACTTTCCTCCTTACCCTGTGGTATTAAAACTGTTATGTTTAAGTAACGCATCTTCTTATTTCGGCTACGGCATGTAAATGTACATCAATGACAAATTGCTGACGAGATGCTTTCTGCTTTAACGATCCTTTTATGTTTAGTGCGTTGCACACGAAACGTTGTTTGCCTGACGTAGCACTGCGTCAGTGACTGTCGCTGTGTGTGACACGTCTTGTGACATGAATGTCGTTCACATGATGATTGCAAAATGAACAATGCAACACTGCATTGACTTACTGGTGCATGCATTGAATTTGCTTCCTAGGTTATATTAGCGCACGTAATAATGTAATCGTGTGCATCGTGTGCATCATGTTTTAAACTCGTAGCACAAGATGCGTCATTTGCCTGACTGCGTCAGCGAATTAAGCGGTTTAAGATTCGTCATATGTTGAAGAGATCAAATGAACGAAAGAATATTGCACACTGGAAAGTGCAAGCAATGCTTTGTGTAATTGGCGTTTGGGATGCTTGTCATCAAAGGCTCGATTGCCGCCGGAAATGACAGAATAGGCCACTTTCTTTAATAATGTATGCATTGCACACATCACGAGACATCAGGGAGGGCAAGTCATAATGTCTGTCATACCTCGCATCAAGTAATGTATGCAATTGGCATTCTGACTATTGAAATACAGTTATTCGTAGGAGGTAAATGAAATAATTTGTAATAAATTACATTACGAAAACGGTCTATTAAATAGGCTTTGCGCGCAATTAGCCTTAACGACTGCTAATTGATTGATGCACACAATAATTTTAAATTACGTATGATTGTATATCTAACACCTCTCTCCTCTCCTCTCCTCTGTTCCACCCGATCCCCGTTTCTTTCTCTCTTCATTCCTCACTCTCCCACAAAGACTTTTTTTTCTTCATCTACCTCCCAAGTCATTTTGTTTCACGTCTCAGTTGATATTTAAGTTTTGATTTTATGTTATATAATATTCAAAAAGTAAAGCGTTACGTTTGTTAACTAGTTTTTCTCCATGTCATATTAACGGTTTAAACCTCTTATTCTTCTACGCAAAGATTGAAGGTTCATCAACAACAAAACATACACATAGACTTTTCACCTGTACCTATCTTCAGGATTGAAAGGTATGGGGCTACCAAAAAAGAAGAAGCTAAAGACGACGAACAACAGTAGTAGTAGTAGTAGTGATCAACGGTGTCGATTTGTATCCTTGGTTGGGGTGGGGGGGGGGAGGATGATAGGTGCCAAAATATTTTCGGCAATGGATCAAAGCAACCTAGAGGTAGAAGTGTGTGGCAAGTTGCACCCCTCCCTTCCAAGTTATTAACTTTTTCAAGTCACCCTCAATAAAGATAACATTTCAGAGAATATGGGACCCTACGTGGGTGTCACATGGGCTTGCTACCTGGGTTATAATCCTCTCAACCGCGAAGCAAGGAGTTGAATTTAAGGGGGGCGGTAGTGAGCACGCGAAGCGCGCTCCCATGGGAGGTGGAGTTTCCCCCGTCCCGCGCGAAGCGCGGAAGCTTTGATGTTTCATTCAATTATTAGAGAAAGAAGACGATTCGTTGTACCGTTCTCGACCCTTAATCCTTGTCTAAATTCAGTTCCCCGCCCCCCTTCCCGCGCGAAGCGCGGAAGCTTTGACGTTTCATTAAATTATTAGAGAAAGAAGACGATTCGTTGTACAATTCTCGACTATTAGTCCTTGTCTGAATTCAGTTCCCCGCCACCCTTCCCGCGCGAAGCGCGGAAGCTTTGACGTTTCATTAAATTATTAGAGAAAGAAGACGATTTGTTGTACCGTTCTCGACTTTTAATCCTTGTCTAAATTCAGTTTTTTTTTTTTACGTTTCATTAAATTATTAGAGAAAGAAGACGATTCGTTGTGCCGTTCTCGACTCTTAATCCTTTTCTTCCAACGTCCTCTTCCTTTCTACTCTCTCTCTCTCTCTCTCTTTTTGGCCGGCGTTTTTTTTTTTTGGGGGGGGGGGGGGCGACCGCCCCAACCGCACCCCCCTGGCTACGCGCCTGTATCCTCTCTGTCTCTCATTATTTCTCTTCCACTCTCTACTTCTTTTTTTGCACTTTTGCGCTTTGCGCTTAACATTTAGCTCGTTGCTTTTTAACGCTGCGGCTTTGCATTTGGCGCACTGCATATCTATGATGCTGTTGATTGAATAAATTGAATTATTTTATCAATTTCTGATGAAGCTGCATGAGCGAGAATTCAATTTATTCTTGTCTCGTATACGGTTGTCTCATTTATGTATGTATTATGAAAATGAGATAGCAAAATGTGTATATTGATGGTCATCTTGCGAGTAATAACCATTGTGTGTGTGTGTGTGTGTGTATTGGGTTTTTACAGACGTGTATCAATCAGATATGATTATTTACGTCTGGGACCGACCTTTAAACGTCACCATCCGAAAGACGTGACTCAGTTTCAAACCTGCGTCCTCGGCTGAATCAGTTTGTAACTTCCACTTTTTAGCTGGATTACAGGTGCACGCCACAACGCCTAGTTATGGCGTGCTACTCTCATCATTTTTTTGTTTTTGATAGTGAATTATTAGGGGGATGATTGTACAGGCCATCCCCCCACCTGAAATATTGGGGGACATATCCCCCCACCTCCCACCCCCCCCCCCCCCCCCCCGGGATCGACACCATGGTAGTGATAGTAAAAGTAACAGTAGTAGTAATACTAGTAGTAGTAATAACAATAATAATAGTAGTTGAAGTAATGATATTAGTAGTAATAGTAGTTGTAATAAAAGTAGAAGTAATAACAGTTATAGTAATGACAATAATGATGACAATAAAACAAAATAAAATGATAATTTTTTTTAATGATAATACATTTTTTTAAATTACGATAATAATAACAGGAAGAAGAAGTACAAGAAAAAGACATCGCTTTTCTCAACGTAAAGATTTACGGCAAACATTTAGTTTTCGTTTAGGGTAAATTCTATGATTAAGACTGTGTATACGTTTAGGTGAAGTTTTGAGGTCGAGCATAACCATTTATTTTCTTGTATTCTCTAAACGTTTACGAATGACTTCTCAAAAAACCTTCAATGACGAGTTTCATTAAAAAAAACACCTAATATTGTTTTCCATAATGTTTTTTAGGCACATACATTGCATATAATAAAAGGTTCAAGGGTTTAACACATTAAAGATATAATAAACTTCACATTATACATGTACATGTATATTATTACAGCCAAGTGAAGTCTGGCGATTTGCATTAGGCAGCTCGGAATTTAATATTTAAGAAAGAAATCAAATATAAGATTGAATACAAAACTTTTCGGGAATGAACTTAAATGCTACTTACTATTCCCTCTGTTTTCTGATTTGATAACGTCTAAATGCATTCCTCCTTTCTCTTATTTTCCTTACCACCCTCCTCCTCCTTCTTCTTATAACCCTCCCCATTCTTCTTCTTCTTCTCTTTTTCTTTTCTTTCCTTTCTTTAAAAGCGAAGTACGAAAGACAGAAAAGAAGGGGTTGCCTGCAACTACCACGCAAACTAAGCACACCTTGTTTATTTGAAAGTTTGTTAACATCACACAAAATATTCAGAGGTTTAAAAACAAAATTTGTAGCGATCACCCCTAAATCGGAGGGGGTGACCAAAAAATCGGTCCATTTAATGAATATGTATTTTTGTAAATAATATTTTGAGGGAACCTTGAGTTAGAATGAGTTCCATTCAAAACGAAAGGGCATTAAATAATTTATTTTTTATACCAATTTTGATGGAATTGGATTTAAAAAACATCGCAATTGTAAGTTACAAAAACATGATTTTTTTTCTTCAGAGAGTTATAACAGAGAGTTATAACAGAGTTATAACAGAGAGTTATATTTTTGCGTAAATTTCAAGGGATTGTCCCATTTACAAGGGCAATATTTTGTGCAAAGCAGATGCTTTTTTTTCGTTTTAAAGAATACTTATAGCAACCCAAAGTTATTTACTTGACTGTTATCAGTCAATAATGGTAACCAACTTATCAAATAATGTATTTTTAATTTGAAAGAAGAATTTATAAGCAATATCAACGACACAAAACAAAATCAAAGGTGGAATACAATAAAGATTCTATAAAGAGAGATTCTGAAATGTAAAGTAGTTGATAGACTCCTAATCCTTTGAACTGTCAAAATGTCCAATCACTATCCTTAAATTCATATACCAAGATACTGGCCGAATTGAGTGGGGACATTTCCACAATAAGAAGCACATTTTCGGCTCAAAATTCACATTTTACACATTTCAATGAAGCTGACATCTACTTGAAAGTATTTCAATCATCCAGCAAATGACACTAAACCAATGGTGCTTTTAGGTTTTACTTAAAAGTTAATTATAACACTCGATTTAAACACTCCAAACATGCCCTTAATACATAAATGCACATATATATGCATACAGTTAATACAAATAAGGGCAATCATGTTGTTTTTGTGGAAATCCAGTCAATAACTTTCGATGGCTATAACTTTTTCACTGAAGATATATATAAGCCTCTCCTTTCCACAAAATATTTTCTTTTTACTTGAACAAATCCTAGAAAGTTACAAATAAAGACACCTCCCCAATTTTGATATATGAAGAATAACGTGTTTTCATAAAATTTAAATTTTTAATTAAAAAATGGAAAACAGCATCTTTCTAATTTGAAAATTGTAATGTTAATTAATCCCAATTCAAATAAAATATGTATCAACATTTTTTGTTATTTAAATCTCTTTGCATAATACTATTTTTCATCAAAAGGGCCGCTGTTTTGAACGTCCCCTCCGATTTAGGGGTGCCCGCTGCGAATTAAAAAGCACCTCTGAAATATTGTGTATTATAATAAAAAATTTCGAACGAACAAGGTGTTCTTTGTTTAAAGGCAGTGGCATCCAAATAAAAAACTAAGCAACATATTTGACTTTGGGCCAGAAAATTATGTACTTTAAATTTGGTACTACTTTATCGTTTTGCCTTTCATTGAATATTTATAGACCTTATAATAATTCTCTTCAAATGAGCTTTGCTTTTTATTTAGGGTCCTCAGTCTCACAATGTACGTTGTTTTTATATTGCCTGTTGTGCTGTTACTTGTCATATTTAGAATATGTAGGTATTTGAAGAGCCATACTTTTCAGTGAACATTTTTTCCTCTGATGTTCTTCCACTCTTGCATAGTAACAATAATAACGCTCCCTAATTATGTTTCACCTCTCCCCGTAACTCAGCCTTCTCTTTAAGTTGTTTACACCTTTTATTTTGTCACTCTACAGTTTGTATGAACCATTATTTTTTGTTCAAATATAAAATGTAGAACAAGTACAATTGAATTAGTCGTGGTCGAGTGGTTAAAGGCGCTTGACTGGAGATGCGAAGGTCGAGGGTTCGAATCCCGACACGGCACTAATATCTTTTGGCAAGATATTAACCTGTAGTTTGCTACTCTCCACCCAGGTATTAAATGGGTACCCGGTAGGATGCAACCGTCATTGTTGGTCAAACAATTTTTGAGCGTCAAGTAACGCCTGGCTGGAATGTTCCCCAGGAAGTGGAGATTGTGCACATAGTGTGTGCGGGCAAGCACTGAATCCAATGACCGGGGTAATAGTATATCTATAAAGCGCTTTAATAGAGACATTGTATTAAGCGCTATATAAGCGGAATATTATTATATGATAAGCTGATATGTATTCACCATAAAACTCACCTTCAGTAAACGCTCCATCTCGCGTGTCCAGTAAATCTCGAAATGCAGCTCAAAACATCAATCTGATTCCCTCTGGATACGACTCACAAGCAAATACGAATCTTCCTTTCTTTGTTGTCTCTTGGTGTTACTTTATTATCACAATCTGGCGCTAGTTCAGTAGTTTTTACCGTTGTTCAATATTGTTTTAAAAAGATAAATAGTATATATCATGCAATTAATAATCCCGTCCATGAGACACCGATGCTCTTATTGGCTCTTATTTTACTGTCCTGTGTTCCACTGCGACCGGAGCTTCGATGCTGCAAAAGTAGAAAGAGTTTTTGCCTCCGGGAGAGATGAAAATGTTTTCCGCAGGGGCGTGGCCTAATCCATTGTGACTGAATAGTCACCATAGCATGCGGCTAGTGCGCAAATGAGGCACTCGGCGTGTACTTTTCGTTTATACATTTTGATACATTTGCCTATGGTTTGTCATTCGGATAACCATGACGACCATCCATTATGAAGCAGCTAATGATAGGATGGATAATGATCTCTTAATGATCGGTTCCCTTGGTACAAAATATTAATATCACACTTTTTGTTCACCTAGCGACGGTGAATAAATCTTAAGCTCCCAAAACACGAATCATAAACGACTGCGTGGCTCTAACTATTATTATCGTTGCATGTAAAAGCATTTCTTTTTTTAGGGTGGGGGAGGGGCGGAAACATGAACGGAGCATGCGCAGTTTGATTTCATATTGATCAAATATATGATTGATAGCACGAGACCTCAGTAAAAGATCCGCTTATTGCTTTATACCTCCTACCGACATGATATTTTTGAAGGAAACACAACACTTCGCTTGGACTGATAATATTGCCTGGACGTTATATTCCGACGTCAGAGTTTAAAATGAATTAACAAAAACTAACAGCAACTATCATCGTTGAATTATCAGTTTTCACTATTCCAACATTTTTAGTATTTAGCATTAATCTAAACAAACAAAACTTTATTATTCCTGGCTCATTTTTCATGATTGAGGTGTCATATGAAATGGGCAGAAACTGAACTTTCTAGAATTGTGATTTTCTCTTTGAAATTCAGATACCGTCCGCCAAATGACGTTTTGATTCCCTCTCTTCAAATTGATTTTAGTCACTCATGTGTGAAATAAATAAAAGAGGAGGATCTAAGGTTTACAAATATGTGTTATTTATTCATTGTAATTGTGATTAAGTTATTATGAAACATCGAAAACTCTCGGTTTCATTTTTTCTGGGACGCACTGTATAATCCTAAAGGGTACATTAACAGGATATGATTTTTTTAAAATGGTATATTACCCTAACCCTAACTCTAAAATAATATAAGTAACTAAACTAATGACTAATGAATAAACTTATGGTTTCTTGGGAGGCCTATCAGTTTTCTCTGCCTGCAAAGGTACGTAGAGGGCAGTAGTTATATTGTTTAACCGTTAACGGGACATGAAAATGTCCTGCTAATGACCACGTCTACTTTAATATTGACTTATGTTTCACTACATATGTCCGTCTAATGACGCTGTAAGGTATATATATATATTTATATGCATATTATTGAGATCAGGTGTGAACCTGCTTCGGCGGAGCCCCATTATACTAGCCCCCCCCCCCCCCCCCCCCCCGTGATATGTGGAATTCTGCTACGTATGAATAATGATTGAGTTGATTGCAATTGCGTTTGAGTTTAGGTGTAGGTTTGAGTTGTGGTAGGCGTATTGTAGTGTTGGGTCACAGGTATTAATTAGCTTGACCGTTTTTATTCGGCTGGTATGTACCATTCACCACGGAGCAAATTATCAATCGAAATATATATCCTGCAGTCTTACTAATTATTAAATGGATATGTGTGGAATTATTTATAATCACAGTACAATCATTTAAAGCTTCATGAATGGTAAACGAAAACACCGAACATAAGAAACAAGTCAAACATTGTATTTGGGAGAAAAATGAAAATGCACTTTTATTTCTCAAATGAATGTCAGTTTATAAAACTATCCGCTCATTAGGAATCTATCAAAAATTCATCTTCAATCGTTCATTCAACAGTTTGCTCTTAAATGTTAATTTGGGCAATATGCTGGAGAAAATTGAGACGCACGGTCCAATTTTTCCTAAAAAGGTTATTTCATAATGACCAATGTTCACGTTTAGCTGGTCAATTATCTGTTTTAATATTACATTACATTATTTTGAAGATTCCATCATTGATTGCTAAGGAATAATACATGTAGGAAAACAAACATTGTAACATAATTTTCTATTGAATTTAGTATATCGTCTGCTTTGAAGCCATAATGACGTTTACACTATCTTACCGTTTATTATTGAATGCCCTTGTAGCTCAGAACAGACTAAATGACGTTTTGTGTTTCAATTAAATCGAATTACAAGTAGACCAAATTCTGAATTGGCCGCACAGTCTAGATGCACATAATTATGAAAAACAATTTGGATACGGGTGGGCATTCACAGTAACTTTCAATTTTCCCATTTAGCTTTCAAGAACACAACATGTATATCTTCTATTGACTTTGCCGCACTAACATTTTCGTTGCAAAATGTATGTTTAAATGGAGAGATAATGTAATGATCAAAACAAAATTAATGAAGAATTCCTGAACAAATGGTTTAATAATCAGGCAGGAATATAGTCGAAACTACCTTCAAAATGTTTTAAAGATTTGGACAATAACCGTGTTAGAACTGAAACCTCATAATAATACACAAAATGGAAAGACACATCAACAAATCCAGGAGAGGGGCGATTTATGCTCAGGAACTTAACGTTGATATTTAATCTGTCTAGTTTAGAGACACATTATTCTATTGGTCTATCGTTTGGATAGTTTAAACTATGTTTACTTGAACTAATTTCATTTTCTTGCTAGAAATGCTATTGACATTTGCTCGGCATCATTTTCTGGTCTTGCTTTATTGTTGACGTTTCTTTATGTTCCCCGTTCGATTAGTTAAAAGTTATTAGTCACCCTTTTTCTCTCATGCCATTATCCATTGCACTTGCACCTTCTTTTTCAGTTTGCTTTTGTTTTATTCAACTTCTCCTGAATGATTTTTTTCGAATGTGACTCTTTTACGAAGTTTTCTCAGATGTTGAATGTGTGGGGGCAACAAGTAGATTCTTTCTTTAATTCGATCAATTCTAATTCTTAAAGAGATATTTTGGTAGTAGGACAAAGATATTATAAAAACACGAGTTATTCCATTTGTAGTACCTTAAGGAAAGCAAAATACCACATTTAATAATTAAACTACCCTGTTGAAATAAATCATGAATAAATAAATTCATAAATAAACATTAGACAACTTTAGTTCCTTGAAATGCTATCATATTTTAAAGCCCACTAGACAATTCGTATCATTTGGTCAACCTTTCGATGCACAAAATAAAGTAGTTCCACATGACCACAGATATGTAAAGTACTTTGAAATTACACACGACTATCTACAACAACTTCTCAGAATTTCTTGGAAACCTTTTAACTTTCAACATTTCCTTTAGAGTATATATTCCATCATCACTATGTTTGATTATTAAAACAAGTTTGCATAGTGATACTTTCTAAATAAAAATGAAATATCATAAAACTGTAATACTTTTATAGAATGATTAAAGGTCACTTAAAGAATACAAAGGTACACCACACTGTATCGAGAAACTTACAAGGCACCATTAAGACTTATCATTCAAAATGTCATAATTTGTTCTGACTTTAAGCACACATTTAAAAGAACACCAATTTGAGATACAGAAAAATTGCTTTATCGAGACACTTTTAAATACGTAGCTTTGATATCTGTATAATATTACACATTTCAAGAGCGAAATTTCTCTGTCATTTACGTTTTTCATGATAGAAACATTATACATGCCTGAAATTATTCGCCTCTTAAGATTTGATTGTGTATTAATAATACAATTTTATATAGTCGTTGAAAAAAGTACTGCCATTAGAATAACACACATAGAAAATTTACACGAAATATCCACTAAACCCTTAACATATATAAATATAAGTATTAAGATTGCAAGGTAAATTCTTTTATAGACACCTATTGATAGACAAACGAAATATTTTTAATTGAGCAGCCTGTGATTAGCATAGTCAATTCCATTTTATATGACATAATAAAGCCTGTAATTCACATAAGTTATACATTTTGTACGAAAGAAATCAATTATTAATGCTATTGATGAGGTAAACGTCGTAAATGACTTGATTTGTGTGCTCTTTGAATACTGAATATAATCTAAATTTATACAATCCTTATATATATTTTTTTTTTTTTTTTTTTGTATTCATGAATTTTGTTTCTCAAAACTCGAATTATTTTACGTACATAACATAATTTATAAAAAACCGCAACATAATTATAACAAAGGTGTTATATCATCGATAAACAAACGTAAATACAACATAGTTCACTGTTCATTTTTAAATGAGTTTCATATTTCTCAACACATTATACAGCATTAAAATTATGATTTTTTCTTTTTTACTCAATTTACCCCAAATCCTCTTCCTCTCTAACTCCTTGGACTTATTTACAATATAGTTCGAAGAAAGAGAACACCTACAATGCACTTTCTTCAAAATTGTATTGTTTTTTGCAATAATATCAACAAACTATTTACAACTTACACGATATACTACAATATAGATTATGTGGCGCATAAAAACGCTACATACACAGTTTTCATTGAGCTCAGGAGAAGAATAGAAATGTTTTTGTCAAGTATTTGTTTTAAATAAATGAATTTTACATTTATACCAGGTCCGTGGTCCCATTCTCAATATGATTATTACATCACGTTACATATATATTTATATAAAATGTAATTGACATTTGTGCTACAGTTATATTAACGACATAGAACACAGAAACAAATGCGTTTTAAATTGTATTAATTCATAACTGAATTGAAGAAGTCTGGAAAAAACGATACTCAAAGTTTGGGTAAGTTCAAGTTCAAGATAGTTTTAAATACAATGTCTAGTACATGCATATCATACCATTTATTGTCGGTATAACTTGTCGAGAGAAAGAGAAGAAATGTAACAGACACCAACATACCATGGTTTAAAAATAGTGTACCAAAAAAATGGTGAAATATGCAATCTTCCGCACTTTAACTCCTTTTGCTATTGTTGCTACCAGGCCATAAAATACCTGTATATGGAAATTAAAGATTAGAGATTCACTGCCACATACTGTAAATCGCCTTTAAGAGCCAGGAGGGCTTTAAACTCTATGTTTAACTATATATATATTATTTTGCTTCTGGCTCCAAAGAGACGGAACTCAGGTTACTTGATTTAAAGGTACTATATCCCATTTGCAGGCCAATTTTGTTTGTAAAGGTTAAATTCAAACGGCAATTGAAAGATAATACGAATTAAACAACCTTCCTCAAAACGAGAGGGCTTGAAAATGGCTTTTAGTGGGAAAATAACGACCACTAGTTGTCGAATCGACTTAAGTGAATGCAATCACGTAAGCAACAGTCTGATTTTCAGCCCCTTTTACCGAATGGACTTATGTTTTGTGCTGCACATAGACTTAATCAGTTTAACGTTGGCCATTACAAGTAGTGGGTTATTGATATATATATATAAATGCTCATGTACCTGTTACAGCTCATTTTATGTATGTTATTACCACAAAAAAATATGTCAGTCAGTCACTCCATAGTGTCTGACAGTGAAATATAGAAGGTAAACGGGTTTTCTTGCATAATTGAAAGCGTGGTCCACAACTTGTAGCTGTTACATATCATATTTTTTAAAAGTGAAGCCATTTGAAAAGCCATCATTTACAGTTGACATCTTTTTCATCGATACTCTTCCACACTAACATGAAAAGATAGAAAAGCTCACAAATTAATCTTCACCTATCCCAGCTTTTCTTTAAAAGGTTGATGTGGCGGTTGGCTTGGAACTCCTCCTACTTGCCCAAGTGCTATCTGCAACACGACGACCAAGCCGAAGCTTAAGCGCTGTTTTCACCTAGATGAATATCGAGAGAGAGAGGACAAATATGGATAACATGATCGCAAATACCTTCGAAAAATCAATCCAAGGAAATATCAGTGGCTTTGTCAAGCACCTTTCTAAATGTGCGAACATTTATTTATTTACTTACTTACTTATTTTTTATTTGTTTGTCAATTTAGGTAATTAATTATTCATGAATGTATTTATTTATTTTGTCAAAACACGAACGGAAAGAGTTTGGAGAAAAAAAATATGGGAGTTCCAATCTGCTACGTACTGAATTGTGCGATTTATTTGAAAATATGAATTATGCAATGCGCATGCGATTTCTGTGGGCTATATACAATTGCTATCGAATAGCTTAAACAAAGTTCACAATGAGAACATAATAAATGGAGAGAAAAAGAGGATATATATATATATAGGGGTCGCTTAAGTGAATAAAGGAAAGAAATCATAGAACAAAACCTTACTGTGTAAAAAAAAAAAAAAAAAAAAAAAAAAACCTCCGTGTGTATTATAATAATAGCAAAAATCACTTTATTAAAGCTAAAATTAAGGTTCACTTTTAAGCCACCTTAAGCTTATTCCAGTACTCTCAGTAAACGACTGTAAATGCATTGTAAAGTTGATCAGAAAAAATTAGGAGTCCTTAAATAATCAAAGGTAGTATGACATTATAAACAAATAGAAAAGGGGCATTTTCTCGTTGTATAATGTAAATATTCAACAAAATATCTAATCACATGAGAAATGTTATTTATCGCCGTATTACCTCATTTTAAGCTTTCAAAAAAGATTACATGTAGTCATGAGATTTTGTTTGAATAGTGTTAAATGACGAGGTAAGAAAGAACTTACAGCCGGAACTAACAAGCAGTGAAACACCAAGATGGAGACACCCTGTAAAAGCATACAAAATAAAAAGAAATGAGAGAAACGGTGTTCTTTTTACCACTTTTGATGATGGGGGAGGGGGATATTACGTATCGAAGGTAGGAAAAAATAAATTCAATTTTAATTCAATTCAATTCAAGGTTTATTAAAGGCTTGTGTCGCAGCCCAATGGCTGAATTGGTCATGTGTATAATTAAACGATTCATTGCACATTTTAAACATAAAATACAGTTACAATTGATTTGTCAATATTGGAATATATATAGTTTATATGGTAAAATTGCTTGGGCAGCAAAATAAAAAAACAGAAGATAGCATGAAGTCAGAAAATTGTATTATCTTATAGAGAGTACAAATCAGGGAACTTCACCATTTGTGAAGAAAAAAATTATAATACAAAAAAAAAAAATAATAATTCATCTATTTTGATTAATTGGGCTTGGCTTTATTGAGAAGATCGACAAAGTAAGTTAGGGGGCTATTTCGAAAACGATTGGGTTTGCACTTGAATTGTTGATATTTAGATGCATGGCGTAAGAAGGTGGATATGTTTTTTCTAAAGAGGTAACCAGGTACTACATGTTGGGTGTTTAGCTAAGGATGTAGCACAATCCAGACAAAGCTTTTCCCTTCTGGATTCAAGCGTTGAAAGATCACATATTTGGCAACTGAAGCATTGGTATAATTAGTGTATTGTGGACCCAGCATGGTTCTACATACTCTTTTTTTAACTTGCTCCAAGTTTCTTACTTGTTTCTGTGTAAGCCCACCATTAACAACTGGGGTACAGTATACCATGACAGGACGAATATTGCCCGTATGTATCAGTTTCAGATCAGCTAAAGACAGTCCATATCGTTTCAGAAGCCTAAACATATACAACTTTCTATTACGTTTTTTGAGGGTTTCATTGACATGTAGATCCCATTTCAGATTGGATTGCACAATGACACCAAGAAATTTAACAGATTGGAGGTTTTACAGGGTGAGTCATAAATATAAAAGTTAGTTCGGCAGGAGGATTTTTGGAGAATGTCATACAAAGTAAAAAAAAAAAATGTAAAAATTTTTAAAAAATAAAACACTTTAAAGGATTTAATTGCATGTGATTTTGACAGGACCACTGACCCAAACGATAGGGAACAGCGGGTAAGTCGAATGGATCGGTTTTTTAACGACATTTCAACAAAGTAGGATCATCTACGTATTTATAGCAATCGATTGGTATGTTTTCACAAGCATCGTTGATCATCACTAGAAAGAGGATGGGGCCCAATTAAGTTCCATGGAGTACACCAGCATATTTAGGTATGTATTGAGATAGGGTGCCTTGGGATTTGACTCACTGTTGACGGTGTTCCAAAAAACTAACAATCCATTCAATGATGCATGGCCGCACTTGATCAATTTTCTATTAAGAATGTTATGATCCAGCCTGTCGAAAGCTTTGAAGAAGTTGGTACACACAACAGTGGATTAGCTCTTGCTCTTTTCACCATTTTCATAAAGATTGTGGAGTAAAATAACCAGATAATAAGTGGTCGATAAACCAGGGCGGTTTCCAACTTGCCGGGCGTCAATTTTGTCGACGATATCCTCAAGGAGCCATTTGGCTATGAAAGATTTTGCAATTTTCTCAAATTGACTTGTTAGTGCAATTGGTCGGAGATTGTTAATGGGTGCAGGTAATGATTTCGGAATAGGGGCTATTTGAGCTTGCCTCCACTGTTGCGAGGCGATTTTTCGTAAATTTGTTGTAGATGTATCAGGTAAACTGGACATGACACTTTGGCAGTAATAGGGGTGCTATTCACAAACGTTATACCTGACCCTTTTAGAGTTAATGTTTGATTATTCATGAAAGTTCGTGTAACCGACGACCAACGGGTCGCGACGCGACACCCGATTGAACGAAGTGAGCCATATTGAAAAGCTTCCGTTTTTCCTACCTGGAGGGAGAAACAGATGATGAAGATGTACTGAAAGCAGATGACAGCATCAGATTGGGTGAAACTGGTGATGGTTCCAGCGATCCAGGTTAAACCAAGGATTGGTAGAAGAATGCATAAGGCACGAGCCGTTGCCCTGTATAGAAAAGCGAGAAAAGAACAGATTAGTTGATAATAACGATATGATTTGTTTACCCATGGTAGCCCCATCAGTTTTATAAGGGTTCTCCCTAATGACCCTGCAATCAAATTATTACCTCGGCTACGTTTAGAGAGTGCAAATGTAGATCTATAATGTCTTGCCAGAGGACATTAGCGCCCTAGGTTTCGAACCCAGTATCTTGTACATCGTAGTCTTGGGCTTATCCACTGCACCACGACACATGGATTAATAAAGTTGCTATACAGGAGTAGGTGGATAGCCCGATTTTGTAAGCTAGGTATGAGAATCCGGACCATCTTAGTCAACGTCATTGATTAAGTAACAATAAGATTTTTTTTTCCTTTAAAGTCTTATCTTTATTTCAGTCCACCTCACTAGTACATATACTTGAAGACATACCTCAGGAATACTTCAAGATGTTTGGAATATCTGTCAAGCTAGCGAAATCCATTTCCCCTTTGCATGGCATTTTTCTGAATTCAGAAGTCCTATTTTATATTATGTAAGGAGTTCTTGGGAATGAATGGCATCTTATCTAAACTGTTATTTTAAAAGAATGTGAACCGTAAATCATTCACAACTGAGTGAGCCGGCAAAAACCAAAAGAAATCTATCTTTGTCGGTTGGATCTTTCATAAAGTAATTTCTCCAAATGCAGACGTTTCTGAATGACAGTTTTTAATCAAATTATAAAATATAAAACGTTAGTTTGACCTCTAGAGGCTGTTTACACCGGCAGAGCTAGCGCGCGCTAGACCGCGCTTTCTCTGCGGTTAGGAAGGTACAACGTCGATTCGGTCCGCCCAAAAGCGAGCCACGGCGAGCCTAAACGGCGTGCCACTGGAGCACCTCTTAGGGTTGGTCCACGAGAGATAGCGCGGTCTAGCGCGCGCTAGAAAAACAGGGGGTGCTACGATAGACCGCGCTATCTCATTGCGGTGTGAACAGCCTCTATGACTTTCGGGAACATTGATGATTACTTTTGTCTAACCCAGCCTGTTGATCTCAGGCAAAGCAATGGGAGAGAAATCCGAAGAACGCACAATATTTGGGGGGGGGGGGTGAATAATTTCTTGAAGAACTGGTAAACAGATCTTACTTGATCTTGTCGATTTCATCTTTCTTCTTGTTTGCCTTCAGGGAACTGAATGCTTTCATGACGAACCACAACACCGTAAAACTGAACTACGGGTACAAACAAAAGAGAATGCAGAAATATCGTTCACTAAAACTTAACACCTAAGTTAAAAACAATAAGTTAATATCATTTGGATAGATAGACAGATATTTTTTTTGCCGTAAAACAAATTTAGATTTTTCATATCGTCCTGTGATTATGTAAGTTCATTTAAGTGATATTTCATATATTATGTATACGTATGAATATATAAGATTTTACAGTGTAGCCATGAGCAATTAGGCTAAGTTTTTCAAAAAAAAATAAATAAATAAAAAAATGTTACCATATCATCTTATCATATCATATTACCAAATTCATGACTTCATTAATTACGTTTCTTCTTTATAGATTGACTTCTTTCTTTCAGAGAAATGCAGTACTTTCTAAGTAATAATTACGTTAAAGCTCAATATTTGCCATAAGCTAGTAAAAACTGTATAGCCAGTTTTTACTTTAGTCCTCCTTTAAAAATCAGGCAAACTCCAATCACTACATCTTACCAGTTCTGTTGCGTAGACACATCCTGCAAATATGTAGATACTGTTGTCTTCAACGTGTAACCAGCAGCTGAATAAAAAATATATTTATAACACCATTATTTGTATTTAAATAAGATTATATTACTATTTATTTTGTTTGTATTATTGTTATTATTATTATTATCATTATCACTAGTATTCTCATCACTTTAAATATTAATGATTTATTATTATAATGATAATAAATATAATGATTATTATTATTTTTCATTATTATTATTATTATCATTATCATTATATCATTTTCATTATATCTTTAGTATTACTCTTACTATTATTATTATTATTTTCATCATCGTAATCACGATCAATAATTATCAATAATATCATCATCAGCATTATAATCATCATCATGATTATTACATTATTTTCTGTAGAATTCACCAAGTATCGCGAGCCATTAATAAGAAACACATTATAGCCCAGTATACTAAACAAATTCTGTTGTTTACAAGTTGTTTAGTATATTAAGAAAAACCTGTTTAAAATGATAATTTAAGATATTACAAAAGGAATAACTGAATGTTATTGTATAATCTGAACAGAGCAACTAATGCGAAGTCCAATGCTATAACTAAAATATTTTTTAATTTCTTTAGAATATCCAATGGATCCTATGGAAGTTGTGAAACAATAAAAATTCGGATTTTCACTTCATATCCAATTACAAAAGTAAAGGAATGAACATTTAATTAACATGTAGATTAGAAACTTTAAACATGTCAACGACATAACTACAGCGGAATTTACTCTTTAAAGGGAAAGTACACGATGATATCAACTTGGTTTTAATAAAAGCAGAAAAATGAGGGAAACAAATAAGTGAAAATTGAGCAATATCCGATTAAAAAGAGGAATTTTATGAATTTGTTAGAGCTGTCTTCAGGTAAAAACAGATTTTAGCAACACTGTGACGTATTTTGCGAGCTCCTCTCCAGTTTGCTCTTTACAGGATATTTCATTTACTTTCATTTATTTATATATTGATGACGGAATTGATTGTTTCACATTTTTGCAACGATTATATAAAGGGTGAATATATCATTGGACATTTTCTTAAGGGAAAATGTAATTTCTTTGATTTTTTTTTGTTATTACAGGCCCAATTTCTACTTCTATTGAATCAACTTAATATCAGGGTAGACTTCCCCTTTAATAGACAAGTGATCAATGATATACAGAAGCCTCAGTTACTTACTATGCAGATGTTCCATACGTGTCGAAGAGAACACCAAAAGACACCCCGACAACCACAAGGGAGCCTCCTGAAATAAGTGAATTGAATCGAATTGAAATTAAAAACTGAAGGTTTATTGATAAAAATGCAAAGTCACAGCTCGAAGTTACAAATAAAACTGCAACATATAAAATACATTCAGATAGTACAATGTAAAATAGGCAAATACGAGATTTTGACATTTAGTAATTAAATTGATATGATAAGGGATAAGAAAAAGTGAAGAAAGTTATAAGAAGGAGAAAACAAAAGAAATAAAGGGAGAAAAAAGAAGAAGAAAATATGGTTTAATGGTAAAATAAGAGTTTAGAACAGACATGTTTTTATATCAGAAATAAGATTCAGTATAAAATTAGGAATTCAGTGATGAACCTGTCCCTGACTAGTGTAAAATATGTAGATACTATTTTGATTAACACAAAAGCCTCGTACTTTAAGCATTAAACAAATTATATAAACACATTGTACAGTGTAATGTTAATAATTGAAAAATATATAATCATCGAAACTTCGCAATGAATGGCTAACTTTGGTTTTTCTTTTGGAAGAACAGGAGGAAATAAGGAGATGAGGTAAAGAACAATTGAGCTACCTCAAAAAAGGATTAGGGATGCAGGAAAGTGCCTTGTATATGTATAAAAACAATGCCCTAAGTGACATCGGCAGATGAATTTGAATGATGTGATAGTACCGAATGCTTTCATATTGTAAACATCTAAATAGATGAACTGTCATCAAATATTCTATTGCGAATTCAAAAACAGATGGTTGAAAAATAATTGAGCTAGGAAAAATATCTTCAAAATCGATTGACAAGTCGAAAGATAACAACAAGCAAAGAAGATGGCATTAGGGTACTGGATATAAGCATCGACTGATTAACCATTGGCCAAAGAAACCGCCATATAATCATAAGAGATATACCTGTATTGTCATATTCACAACATGTACATGGTTGGATATAGACTTTTTAATAAAAGATCAGGTGGTGTGTATGCGCCCCCTATAGGCAGAGCCAAGTTAAGAACGGAAAATCGCTATTTTAGGCAATAGTGGACACTTGATTCCGGTCTTACCGTAAGCAATAAGACTCAGCCACCCAATCCTAAGTGCCTTGAAGCCCACGGCAGTCGTACGGTACAGGAACACGCCCTCGATCATGGTCCATGCAAGAGCTGATGTGAACAGATAGTGTAGTGTCACTGTCACGCCCTTACAGAGTGCCTGTCGTAAAACAAAACAAAAAATGTGTTTACACTTCTATTTGAGAATGGATGTTCTGTGTAACTGAAGAACCCTAAAACAATCTAAGTCGTCTATCCGAATTGAAATTAAGGTCTTAAAATGTATGCTTCCACTAAATACAGATTGATTCCTCCCCCCAAAAAGAGTCCAAACAAACATGACCAACATCGAATAATTGCTTTATTTAAGTCTTGAAATTGAGATGTTTTTAAAATGTTACCACCGGGAATCACATCCGGGTTGGATCGCTAATGCCTTAATCTCTATGCTACAGGAAATTACTAGTGATTTCGATGACAACATTTTTAATTGATCGATTGGCAAATCTTCAGCATTGTTTGGTTCATCATTTCCTTTGGCATTTGAGATTTTGTTTTGTTCTTTAAGGTGGTCATGATGGTTCTGAGAAAGAATAGGAGTCTACAATTCTCACCCTATTTTCTGTTGCCTCGGCCAAGCTCAGAAAAAGGATCTGTCCAAGGGCCGTGCATATTGCCAGGTTCATGTGAATCTGAATCTTCAGCATCTTGCAGGCTCTGTAACAAACCGTTAAACATTTTAGTGAGGGGTGAAAGAGAAAGGCCTGAGGTGATGCGACACCTCAAGATTGTTGTTCTACCTGTCTACCGAAAAACGATAACAGAGGCGTTCCGAATCGACTGCAGGCAACTTCAGTAGCTTAAAGAAACACCTTTTTTATGAGGGAAGAGTGCTATGGCATATTAATTTGATCAGATCATTATTTTCATTAGATGAGCAGGGATTCGAACCACGTACCTCGTGGTTCACCTTCCAGAGATTTATCCACTATAGACAATAAACACCTTTACAGAAACTACCGGGTTCCAGGAGCTAATTGGTTAAGGACGTTCCGCAGAAATGTTCGTTTACATCTCAGCTGCGCAGGGCCAGCTGCTCATATCTTCATAACCAGTTGGCCCTAAACAGCTAAGGTGGGCTCGAACATCACTGCGGAACGACCTCAAAACACACTCACCCAGTCACACAGTAGATGAATACAGCAAGAACCAAAGAGGCGATAGAAATTCCACCAAAAATGTAGGACAGGTAACTCTGTACTTGAGCATTGACTCCTGTAGGCGGCTACATGTAAAAAGAGGATAATAACAATAATATTTATCATAATAATAATAATAACTTCATCAATAATAATGATAATAAACACCCCCCCCCAAAAAAAAAAATAATAATAATAATAATAATAATATATATATATATATAGTAATAAAAGGCGAAGAAAAAAAAATCAATGATCCATTCGATTAACCATTACCTATCCTTTCACTTAATTTATCCATGAATTATTCAATTAATAAAGGGAACCAATACCCTTTCCTCCGCTTCAATTTATTGATTTTAATTTATTTTTTTTAAATTGCTCTGTATTTGTAGACATTTCATGCCATGTTTCTTTTTCACCCCGACCGCACGACAAGAACTGAACTTTATTTTTAAGCAGATAATGCAACAATGACTGACTGACCTTGAGAGAGAGCAGAACAGCGAAGCTAGTCAGATGACTGCTGCTGCACACAACCGAATCAGAGTCGACAGAGACGACCTGGACGCCATCAGTTGACCAAACGCTATCGTAAACAAATATTTTATAAAATCATACACAAGCGTACAATAAAAATATTTTAAAATGTTAATAAAGACTCTTAGTAACGTGTTGAATCGTTTGGTTTATCAATCTCGGTATTTAGAACTTATATATTGAATGTTGGAGCAAGTGAAACTTACTTCAAAATATAGTCATGTAACTCTTATTGTACATATCATTGTTGGATTAGAAGTTTATTATTTTGAAATCGCCCCCCCCCCCTACACAGACAAATCTTGATAATCATGATTATAAATGAATTTAGGTGAGGCACATGTGTTAAAAAAGACCCCCCCCCCCCTCCACGAGAAAAAAATGTATATACATACTTCAATTATAAGTCAAGACTCTTGATTGCAATGCATTTTTAGCCAATTGGTTTATTGTTACAGCTCGAAATTTCGACGTATCATTACGTCTTACGAAAATGCTCAAATGCATTGCAAATCAGACACGTGACTCGTCTTTACAGTCCATAAATGATTTTGTGAACAGTGTCTGATTACCTGCCGTTGACCTGGTAAGCACAGTGCACCACATAGGAACCGTCCTATTAAATAAAATACAAAATAAACAAATAAAGAACTCAGAAAGATAATAACATTTTAGCTTCGGGCTTACCGTTCATGTTATCAGAAAAGGTGGATAATTCAAAGTACATTTTGGATATAGATGGACTGTTCCGCTTTAAGGAGCTGGCCCTTTTGCTGATGTAATTAAGCAAAGGTTTGTCAATCAAAACAAATAAAATAGAAAGGATGATAGTGGTGATAATAATAGTATAACTAGTAGGATCAGCAACAACAGTTTAAGTTGTGGAAGTAGTAGTAATGATAATAATGATCATAATAATATTCATGTTAATAATGATAACAACATCAAGAATGATAATAATAGGATATATTAACTTTAATAAGTTTATATTAAGGATGTAGATGATAATATTCAATCTTAAGGATGATGAAAGTGTATAACTATACAGGATATAAATTATCTTGAAATGATAGATCGTCATTTTAGAAGGCTTCCGTGCCTTATTGTCACTTACTATATTTTACTTATCATCTCATGACCCATCAAGCATATACGCCTGATTTTTTTTCAACAAGAATTTTAAAAGAGTTGTATAGTACCTGATAACGAATTAGATAAGTATTATTATTATGAAAGATTAACGTAATGGTCAATCCTGGGCATATCTCTGGTCATCGGCTTTATTCAGCATTCCAATAGTTAGTGTAATGAAATTTGTTGTTCGGTTTGGTATCGAGCTCGATTACCTTCTTTCGTGGTCTTATGTAGGAAGGGGAGCCCTATTTCTACGCACCTAACATTTCTCTCGAAATCGGAAACATTTTTCTATTGTATTCCTTTTGTCCTAGATCTCTTTGTACTCTTTATATTCCAGGGAGTATGTGTGCCGATTTTTTTTGGTCAAAAACACCCCAGAACAGTGTAATTTTCACAAGAGAAGGCGATGTTGTCATTTTAAAATTACAAAGACAAAGGTTCCCATGTCCGCGCACTCAATCACTTTTCTCGCAGTTGTTATGATATGAGTATTTGGAATCATTAAAGTTTAAGAAATCGGCCCAATGTTGCTAATATTCACATGCCCTGTACATATAAATGTGTACACAGGACTACATAAACATTTGGCATAAGTTTGTGGCCCGGGTTGTGTTCCCAGCATTTAGCTGTTACGTGTCATATTCCAGGGGACTTTTGTTTCTATTATGCTCTTCAACACTAAGAAATAACATAAACAAAGGATAAAAGAGAACACAAATTATTTGTCGCCTTTCACAGAACTCAATCTTCCCTTTAACCGAGTAGCGATAGTGTTGTCTCACCGTTGGGGGAAAACCTTTGGTAGGCTGCATCATGAAGGTTATTTGCACAGAACCATTGGAGAGATTGATGGTCGTGCTGCCGTCAATGAGTTCGATCTTGATCACTGAGCTAATGATGCTGACAATGTTGTTCTCGTCAGCGTTGTCGGTGAGCTTTACAATTTCCGCGCCATCTTTGATATCCTCCCGGTCCGTGTAGGCGTGGTGGACGGTCACTGCTCGTTAAAGATGAGACAGGAAGGGGGAGTATCACACACTGCGTATCAAGATTCTAGACCTCTGATTAATACAAAAAACTGCAGGCATGAAATTTACCTGTTGACAGCTAGCCAGTATAGCGAAAGAAATTGATTGAGCATAGCTCTGCTTTAGCGTGCAGTGCAAGGACGCAATAGATGCATATGAAGTTAAAGGAGACCTCACCCCAAAGAATATAAAGTATAGGTATTCTTAAAAACAATTAGACGTATTCCTGCCCTGCGATGTACAATATTCCTTACGTAAAAGTTGTGCTTTATGCGACTCTATTTCACTTTGGTGGAGAATATTGTAGATTAATGGGCAAGAATATAATAAATCTCTCAGAATAAGTAAATTTATGTTTTGGGGTGAGGTTTCCTTCAACGATAGATACGCGTACTGCTCTTAGATTGCCCTGCTTATAAATAAACACATATTTTGCCAGATGCGGTATAAAAAAACAAATACTAATTTTCTTTTTTCTCGAGAAACCATTGCACAATTACAGTGTATCCCGTGATAACAGCACACGATTTGGTTGGTAACAATAGATAAATAATAGTTGTGGCTTCTTATAAACACTTAGGTCCGTAGATCATGACACGGGTGGCGCTCATTTTAGAGAAGATCGACATTTGTACATGCCCCTACCATTTCTATCATTCACTGAACCGAAGTGGAACGTGAAGGTTAAGCGGCACTGCTGGCTTCCAGATGAAAGGCCCTCAAGAACTTCCTCAGATGCCCCGCTGCCGCAGACCTACGTACAAAAAAAGTTAGGATTAAAACCAGTGATCCATGGAGCAACGGGGGCACAAGCATCCCCCAACCCACAATTAAAAAAATATGAAAAAGGAGAGGATTGGAAGTAAAATAATGGGCTTTGGACCTTATGCAGACAGTCGCGATCCATTTAAATCGCTGGCAAATTGACATCGATCGCAACTGTTTGTTTGCGATTTTAATTGAAAGAGTAAAGTGAATGAACCACTGTATCACAACAACAAAGAATGTTACTTGTATTAAAACTGTTTCCGAAATTTCGGATGAGATTCTTTTTCATAACCTTGTATTTAAGAGAGAATATTAATTTGTCTTGTCTCACGGATGAACTATGTTGTTCCTCATACCGATAAAATTCTGATACTTGATATTTTGTTTTCGATACCAGATAATGGCTATTTAATGTTAACTATAGATACATGCATATGCGCGCACTGCTCTTAGATTGGTTTATTCCCTACAAGTAAATATATT